ACTAGAACTATCTGCGTTATCTGTGGGGCATGGGGTTTTAATTATTTTTACCTAAAGACGTCTCTTTTTGGTAATAAAGTTTTTTAAAAAGCCTGGTTTTTCTCAATACGCCTTTAAAGGTTTTTAAATTGTTTCATATCTGCTCAAGTTGAGATTTTTTAAGAACTTCATTTTTAATTTGTCGTAAAAGTTTACAAGTTGATTTTTTCAAAAAAGTAACAAACTGAAAACCACCTGTTAATAAAAGTCTTAAATAAAACCAAACAGGCCTAGCAATGAAAGGATGGAATTAGCACACACTGATGTTGAAAACAGCTTTGACAAATATACTAAATTATAGGAAGACTTGAAGATAATGAGGATTGAAACTATCAGAATTGGTCAAGGTCACGAAAAGTAAGGCAAATCTGAGAAACTACCAGATTACCAGTGTCCAGAAGAGGCTAAGAGGATGTGATGACTAAACGCCGCGTGGTGCCTGGAACGCATCCTGGAATAGAAAAAGGACATTATTGGAAAACCCGGTGAAACCTAAGTAGCCTGCAGGTTAGTTAACGGCATGGACCAATGTTCATTTCTTAGTTTTGACAAATGCGTCACAGTTAACATCCGGGGAACGGGAGGAGGAGTGTATGGGAACTCTACTTCTGCCACTTTCCTAAAAGTAATCCCAAAGTGCTCCCAAATACTGTATTATTATGAATATAAAGTAATTCACTTTAGAGATATGAAAATGTTTTCCATAAAATTGACAAGAAAAAACTGTAAACTCCCTAAACATCTTTCAGTTTCCTTTTTGTCCTCCTTCCCCATTTTTTCTTTATAAATACGTTTTTTAAATAAAAAAACATTATTTTTTACACATTATATTAACTTACGCTGTCAAGAGTATGTGTCTCCAAAAATCCTTCCTTCCTGTCTGAGTCAGGGTCCCGCTGGCAAATGAGAAGGCGCATATCTCTGCATCTTGAAGAGCTGTGAGGGAAGGGCCTGTGACAGTGTTAGCAGCCTCGGGGCACTGCCACCTCTGAGCCTGAGGGGTGAGCAGCAGCGTCCGGAGCCGTGGGCCTAGACACAGGCAGCTCCACCACCAGATGGCGGGAGCAGAAACGCCCAGGGCCCCTTGTCCTGCCTCCCGGCCTCCCCCAACAGCGCCCACCGGCTGAACTGAAGCAGCAGCCAGGAGACCAGAAGGGTCAGCCCTCCGGACCCGGCAGAGCAGGGGAGATTGCGGGGAGGGAGTTGACCACCTGGCACTCAGCATTCTGCCCGCCTGCCCGCCCTCTCTATTGTGCTGGAGAACTAGTTGCAAGCTAAAATTCCCACCTTCAGGTGAAAGGAAAGCTTAGAAATGAAGGTGAGAAATGCTCTGATAGACTCATGCACCAAGCAAGCACAGAACGGGGCTGCACAATCCCACAGCGGGTGAGAGGGGAGGACTTCCTGGAGCAGGCCGGGCGGCCTTGGGATGGACAAGGGCCGGGCAGAAAGCACAGCAGTGAGGAAGCATCGAGGCATGCGCATCATTCCAGGATCCAGGAATAGCAGGTCGTTCTGTTCTGAAAGTGAAGGGTCTTCCTGGCTGGGGCTGCTGGGATGAAGCCCTGAGCCAGGCGGGCTGCAGAGCATGAGGATGGCCTGGGGCTCTGGTGTGGGCGCCTGGGAGCGGGTAGCTGCCATTCCGAGTGAGGAAGGATTGGTGGAATCGTTCTTGGGAAGAGAAAAAGCATGAAGTCTCTGCAGTGGTGCTTTTGCAGGCTCCGTGAGCAGGCTGCAGGCTCATGCCAGGGTCTAGAGCTCAGAAGGGAGGCATTTGGAACTCTTTTCCCACCATGTTGGGTGAAGTTGTAGGTTTGGATGAGGTCAGCGTGGCGACAGCAGAGGATGAGAAGAGTTGAGGAAAGTGTGTTTGGGGGGGGTGCTGGCATTTAAAAGGTACACAAAAAGTTGAGGCTGTGGAGTTGGCAGCAGTGGGAATAGTAGGGCTGGGGTGAGGGAGAGGGGGTGGAAGGAAGAGGGGTCACCTATGAGTGGGGCCTCCCCCGAGAGGAGGTCATACACCCCGTGTGGTCCGCCTGCATCAACTTGTTCTTCAGGAAGCAAAGTTTCGTCAGGTTGCCGTCGAGGAGGAAGGAATACTTTTTTAACATGTCTGTGGTTAGGATAAAAACTAGGTTAAAAGAATTTCTGGGACCCAGGAGCAGTGTCTTCAAAAACGAGAACCTTGCAGGAACAGAGCATCAGGAACTCATAGGGAGTGGCGAGCAGGCCTGCCCTAGGCAACGAGGGTGCTAGACCTGGGACGGATGCGGGAGCATCCTCAGGACAAAGCGGGCGGAGTCTGTAGTACCAGCTGGGACATGTTACAGGCAAAACCCTGGCACCAGAGACAGGGTCCCAGTGATCTCTTGGCCCCTGAAGGGCTCGATGGACCCACCATGGGGTCTGAGGGTGCAGGAGCAAGCAGGGCTGGGGTGCAAGATTCCCAGAGACCTGGAGTAAGGCTGTGGCTGACTGGGGATGAGGAGACAGCTGACCCTCCTAGCAAGTAGAACGTGGCTTCCATTTTAGAAGATCCTGAACCTCCAGGAACTACACATAAATCGGTGCTGTCAATGGCATGGCAGAAAGAAAATGAAACTTCAGAGTGGCGCTGGGCACTTCGCTAGAGCACGGAGCACATCGTGCAAACGGGCACCGTGGGTCTACTCACCTCCGCACGAGAAGAACCTTGCTTTGCTGACATTTACCCAATTCCTTTAGATATCTGGGAAAGGATTCTTCAACTCTGCCAGACGGTGATGGGAGCGGAGTCCTCCCAGGCAATAGCTGGAAAGCCGGATGAAGTGCTGAGGCCACCTTGTCTAGGAACACATGGAAGTCTACTGAACACAGTTAAAGACATCATGATTCTGCCTCTGGTAACCGTAAGTCTCTCTCGTTACATAGTTGTAACTGAAATACTCAAATTTTTAATGTTTTAAATGTAGCACTTCTCATTTCAAATCAAAGCTGCTCCCAGCGTATGTGACAATGGGCCCCAGGGAACAGGCCACCGTGGGCTTCACTGCATTGCTGTGAAGCTGAGGGAGTGCTGCTGAGTCTGCTGTTGAGACTGTCCTTTCCTATTACAATAGGGTGGGATGGCCCTAGGCTCAGGGCCAAGGGATCAAGTCAGACTCTTGTGCCTTTTTTCTTTCCATGGTATTCACAGTAAACAGCCGTTTCTTTGGAATTTGTCTGTATTGTTCCTGGGCATTTGAAGTGGGACCGTTTTAGTGTTTGTGTCTGAGCCTAATAAAAAATGCACCAGTATCACTGTAGCCATGACTGACTGCATAGCTGTGGTTTCCTGAAGAGTTGGCTTCTGTTATTACTTTTTTATTTGAGACAAGGACTTGCTCTGTCACCCAGGCTGGAGTGCAGTGGTACAATCCCAGCTCATTGCAGCCTTGACTTTCCAGGCTCAAGTGACCCTCCTGCCTCAGCCTCCCAAGTAGCTGGGATTACAGGTGCACACAACCTCACCTGGCTAATGTTTTGATTTTTTGTAGAGAACCGGTCTCACTATGTTGCCCAGGCTGGTCTTGAACTCCTGGCCTCAGTGATGCTCCCACCTTGGCCTCTCGAAGGCTGTTTTTCAGATTACTATTAAATACATGCCTTTATGATGAAAAAAGAATGGGGTAGAGCCCTTAGAGGGAAAAGATTAAAGCAGCAATGTGGGAAGAAAGCCAAGAAAGGGTGCTGCTCCACCAGCAGGGGCTGGAGGGAATTTCAGAGACAGTGGCCGCCACCGCCACCAGGGACAGGAAACCCTAATGGCCAGATGATCATCTGCTGCATTGGACACCACATCAGACTAAGTGTGTTTCTGCTTGGTGACTAGGACAGAGAGCAGTGCAGCCTCCAATGACATGGGGCCCAAAGGAGGAGGATAGGAGGAGCTGAGGAAGACGGAGACAGGCGCTTTTGAAATGGAAAATTGTTGAGCAATCTACATGCAAAACGCCTCAACTGCTGCCTGTCGTGACCATCGCCCAGCCCAGGGCACCCCTCGCTGCTCCTGGGACTCGTGCGGAGCCCACTCAGCCTCTGTACACATGCTGGTGCCCACAGGCAGGCTGCCTCTTCTGGGCAGCACGTCGCCTCTGTGAAGTGGGAACTCAGCACCGTCCGGCAGTGGCTTCCTGCTGACCCAGGCGAGCTGAACCTGAGCCACTCACCCTTGCTTTTCTCTCATCTCACGTCTTGCCACTCTGTCCCAGCCATACCTGCCTTTCGGTTACTGGTGGCATCAGCCTCTTTCAGATCTCAAGGCTCCGGCATGAGTTGTCCCCTCTGCCAGGCAAGCCTCTGCCACGCTCCTGAGGCCAGCTCCTCTTCATCCTTCAGGTCTTGCTTAAATGTCACCTCCTTAGGAATGCCCCCATGGGACTCCCAAGCCCACCTCCCATCTACAACAGTCACCTGTTTTTGTCCATTCCCCTCATGGTGGACTAAGAATGCTTGCTATTTTAGTGTTTGTCAAGTCCAGGTTAAAAATCTGTCCTAGAAACTAAAGGGGATTCTGAGCAGTTTTTTTTTTAACCCCTTTATATTTAATATGTCAAATAATTCAATATGATAGAAAGTCTACCACATAGAATAAGTCTGACAAGCTGCCTCAAAAAAAAAACCACAACATAACCAAGACTAAATTTACCAATTAAACAAAAACAGGCTTTGAACAAGGCACCAAGGATATTCTGAATTTGGTAAACACCCTAGAAAGATACAGCAGTTCCCTTCTTTATTCAGTTGAAGGGAAGAAAAAGTGTCATAATTAGATTGAATTACAAATTTACATCTAAACTTTTGAAAATCTAAGAGAACCAAGTTGATTACATCAACACTCTCATTGTGAAAGATATATCAGATGGTCGGTGAACTTCAATCATCAATTTAAGAGCTCAAATTTGAACATGAGGAGTTAACACAGAAGCTCTAGGCAGCTCTTATAGACGTAAAATATTTTATTTGTAAATGGTGATCTTCTAAATCTGTGTCCACAAATTCCAAAACCCATAACACTCTGTATACTTCAAAAAATTCAATTTTTGCCAACATTAGATACTATTATACAGAACAGAAAACAACAAAAACCCGGTAGGACAAATACTGGTAGGATGTCAGGATATTGTACAAGAGAAGAAAAATATTCAGGAAACAAATTTCATACAGCTATTTATCAAGAGAAAAATATATACAATTGATTTATTCTGTAAGATAAAAATACATCATGCCATATACAAGTTCAGAACTGCATCACTGAATATACCAACAGTTTACAGTCCACTTGAATTGTGCACACAAAACTTCATTTTATACTTAGCCTGTGAAGTGTCAGTACCAGAATTTTAAGTACAAAATAAAAAGCTAACCTGGTTCAAAATGCTGATTAAGTTTCTACAAGCAAACACAAAACAGTGTTTTTTTTATTAAAGAAATGTAAACAAACAGTTCATACAAACACATTTTAAAATTACATCTTCCAAAAACCCTATTGCCAGAGTCCTGCAGCTGTAAGCATAGTCACATCTCCTTTTTTTTTTTTTTTTTTACTTTTTCAAATTTTTGTGTTAAATAGAAGGCTAGAGGGTTAGATTTAAGTTTCTGCTACATGATCCTATTATGTTTACATGATTCTCTATGGCCTGAAACAAAGTTCTAATCAAAACTACTTTTGCTGAAGAAAAAATTCAGCCTCCATTTGGGTGTATTTTTAAGCAGTTATTCACAGTTATCACAAATTGTAAGCACAAAAAAACCTGACTGAAGAAGTAGGGATGCAACAATATAATATGAAAAAATTAGTTTAAATTACCAAAACAGCTATAAAAGTTGTAGCATACGCCCTGCTCGTCAGAAGGAAGGTGTATAAAACCATTAAGTACTAATAGACTGCAGTTTCCAAAAAACCCCAAACACTCTAGGTTGAAATTTTGGTTATTACATAATTATAATGGCATATTTTATAACACAAAATTATATTGTAACATCCCTATGAACATTTTATAAGCACCCGAGCCGCTGCAGAGCCTGGTAGCATTTGGTCAATAACTATGTTTATACTGTATTTTTTCTCAAAATATTTACATATCTGTACAAAGTAACAGGTTTGTTAGTTCTGCAGGGAACAGCAGCAGCTTGGCTTTCTTCTAACTTTATTTAAAAATAGCTTCATTCACTTATTCAATAATAAATACAAAAGTTTCTCTTATTTTACAGAAATCAAAAACTACAATAAACTGACTCATGGAATCAAGTATTTAAATGTATTTAGTGCAAGTTATTATCCCTTAGCTCTATCCCTAAGGAAGTCATTTCAGTACATTCCTTGTTCAGTGGTGTCTACTTTATTTAAAAACATTTTGAAGTTAGAGGGCCTGCCCCTTTTTAATAAGGCCGTGGCCAGCACTCTCTGTCCCCTTCGCTGGTGATTTCAGTCTTACATTCATAGGAAGGCCCCCGCCCGGGGCAGGGCAGCCATCGGCTCTTTGCCCCAGTAAAAGTTTCTCCTTAGTGAGACTAAAAAACCAAAACTACGAAACCCACCCACAAGGGAAAAAAAACAAACAAAAAAAGAAAGAAAAGGAAAAGAAAAGAAAGCAAAGTGCTGGACTGTTCTGTAATTCTGTTTCACCTCGGCCACTTCAGGAGCGCTGCCTCTGCCAGCTTCCTCCTGGCGCTGCTCTAACCTAAAGGACTGAGGAAATCAGAACTCCCAGAAGCTTTTTCAAAAAGTCATAAAACAGAAAACAAAAATATCTTTCTGTCTGCAAAATTCCAATGGTGTGTTGAATCGCCTCTTCCTAGGGACAAGCCGCCCGCTGAGATAGCAAGGAATGCATTTCAGTTCATCCACTTCCGGCAGTTAACAGCTCCACAGTGACACGGAATCTTGTGCTGGTCATCTTCAAAGTCAAACTTATAGTCATAGCAGAGCTGCCCACGGCAAAGACACAGGGTAAGAAACGACAGCAAGGAAGGAAATGGCGTTTCTGCCTCCTCCATCTCTCTTGCATTTTAAAACCAGCAAACAAAACAGATGTAAATTAAGGAAGACCTGATTTGTTGAGGTTCCATGGGACCCTGGGGGAACCCTGAAAAGAGACCCTGCGCGTGCACAGAGGACATGAGGGAGGCAGTATTTTCAAACAGCCAGATCTGAGAAAGGGGAGCCTAACCGGAGAAAGCTGTATTTCTGTGACTTCTCATAATGCTGTCCCTGCAGGTGGATGGAGGGGACGGGAAGGGCAGCTGCTTTCCTGCCCCTCTCCCTAAACCCAGGAGGCTTTCACCTCCCCTCATTTGCTGAATGGGGCATGCAAGTCTGGGTGAGAGGAACTGCCCTTGCCAGCTAACACTGTTTTTCCTCTTTCATTTTTCCACACTCAAGACTGAAAGGATGTCTTTCTATTTAGAGGTCACCAAATGAACATCTCAGACCAAGGTAGGTGAGAGTCTGCATGAGTCCCACGGTACAAGCCTCACTGCGTGGCCCCTGCAACCCCCACCACCCCAGAGACCCGGCGCTGTGAAATGAAGGGGAGGACCAGTAATTTCTAGGTCTCTTCTGATTGAAATTATTCTAGAACACTTGCTGGAAAGACCTTCTACACAGAAAGGAAAGAAACCATGTTTATTGAGTAGCTGTTCTTGGCAATGATTCCACTGCTTTCTTTCAGGTATCTGCTGAGTCCTTGTCCTTACAGGAAACTGGTAAGGAAATCATCTTCTCCGTCTTGCAGAAGATAAAATAGGGGCTCAGATTAAACTATTGACTCAAGAATATTCAAGTAGGAAGGGGGCAGGCAGCCCTGGGCTCAGCTGAGTCTCTTCTGACCACCATAGTAGCCATCGGTTACTGGCACCATGCCAGGGCTCCCACACCCGGTCTCATTTACACGTTACTTTGAGATGTATAATGGGCCTTGGGTCTAGTCAGATCCTTATTCTTGACTAAGAAAGGAGATTCCACAAAGACCCAAAATACAGATAGAATCCCATGAAGGGATAGGAGCACCAACAAAGTCAAGTCACTCAGGTGTGTCACTCCCCAAACGCGGGACGTTCCCTACAGAAGCCAAGCCTGCTGCTCAGTAGGCAATTCCAGAACCAAGGTACCTGAATCATGATGGGAAAGACCAAGTTGGGAAACAAATGCAGCAATTAAGGCCAATAATAATCCCAACGGGTGAGATGCTGGACCAGAGTCTCCTCTGAGAGCACAGAGACAAATGGCAAGCATGGCACTCGGCATTTTGAAGACAACACACACCTGGACTGCTGGAGAATGTGTGGATGTGAGCACTTGGTTAAGCATGCACTGATCGTCAGCGTGAGCACACAATTCTCAGCAGCACAGCTGCCCAGATTTGCCGCCCATAGCCCAACAGCGCCATCCCAGGAGCCACGGCCCTCGTGGAGACGGACGGGGATGCTCTTTAGAGAGGGGACGCTGCCAAACTGTCCAGGTTAAGGGGATAAAGAAGGATCCTATGGCACACAGAAATGGTACCACCTGGGTGCCACGCGGATGCTGAACCCATGGCACAGAAAGGAAGGGGGAGGTGACAGCAAATGCTTACAGAGCTGCCATGTGGAGGAAGGTGGAACTGGAATGCCCGAAGGGTGAAATATTACAGGGTGGGAACATCTGGCCTACTATAGAGACAGTTTTTATCACAACAAAGAATTGGGAAACAAGTGAGCAAGTTACCTGTGTGAGGAGGAAACTATTCACCCAGGATCTAAACGACATGGCAGACACAATCTCTCAGACTCTTACCTCTTCTCCTTTCTGGATTCTCCGATTGGAGCTGATGATAATTTTGTGTCCTCTCTCAAAAGTCACCACTTCAGCCACACAATTAGGTGCACATGAATGGTTGATATACCTGCAAGCCACCATGTCAGAAAACTATATTGTAAAACAGCTAGAAGCAGGTTTTAAAGCTTTCCATTTATTGAGAAAGCAGTTTTTGCTAATTAAATTTCTATTTGCCCATTAGTGGAAGTACAAATATAAAATTTAAATAAAAATTCTCAAAACTCATTGCTCTGAATTTTTAATCGCTGCCAGCCTGTAGTGAGAGCCTTTCTCCTGGCTTCAGTGTTCACTGCCCCAGCACTGGCCCCCTGAGCAAAAGCACTCCCCATCGGGTCCCTCGCTGCCTCACCTTGCAGGCCCTCCTGTGAGTGTCGCGTCAATCACGTGGTCGTTATCCATGCGGAACATGTACACACCACGGTTCTGAGGGAAAAGTCAGGCAGTCATCAATGTCGATCTGAAACTCCCCTCTGTGTTCCTATCCACACCAGGAGGACTCAGTTGAAACTGAACGGAACGGCACCCTGATCACCCTTACTGTGGATATTCTATTAGGCACAGATGACATTTACATGGCACAAATGGAAAGCATGAAATCAGCAGGTTGTGTGTGAAGCCAGGATCATTAATTTACAGTTATCTATCAGAGTAAACCATAACACCACTTGAAAGAGAGAAAACTGATAAAAATACAATAATATACAGATATTGCTTTTGTTTGAAGCTGGATGCAGCATGACAGGCTTCATTCTGCCTTTCAGGGTGTTTGGTCGGCATGGAGAAAGGGAGAGGGCGATGGTGCTGTTTATACAATCGCAGGGACCAAACACCTACCTGAGACTCATAAAGTTTCTCTTTTCTGTTTGCTACTTCATTTCGAATGATAGTCCCGATATACTCAATGACCATGGTGTGCTTCTCAATGTCTCTAGCAGCATACAGGCCCAGCCCCTTAAAAAAAAAAAAAAGTGTTTATATACTTCCAATTTATTTGACAACAAATCTATTTTCTCTTTCTCATACAAAGGTTTTACCCTTGGGTCTTATTAGAAGCCATACTGAAGTTTCACTTGAACTCAAATCATTTTTGAATATGCTATTTTCTGAAATTTAAAAAATTGGACATTTTTACTACTTAAAACTAGGCCATCACTAGCTTCTTCCTATGTCTTTTTTAGCACTAAATTCTTAGGGTCTATGTACAAATACTGTGGCTTAGCTGTCTTACGTATTAGACTATCTAATCTTCCAGATTAGATAACTGAGTTCCCACCAACTAAATAAGCTTATTGACTTGTGGTGTTTATTTTACCCCAATACTATTTCAAAAAAGACATAATAAATTTAATAACACAGAAATCGGGCTAACTATAACCAATCACTGATACTGTAAATAGTATCTGAGTTTCCCAGGAGCCAGGGCAAAGAGCAGACACAGGAAATGTCACTCTGCTGTAAATACCAGGAACGTTGGAAACAAATGAAGCTCTTGGGGAAGGCAGATTTTTCACTAGTACAAAATTCTGAGCCTGGGAAAGAAGTCTGAAATGGCTGAAATGGAAGCAGCTCTCACTGCGCAGCTTGTACTCCCGTGCAGGTGGCCTGCTAGGTGCACTATTTTAGGTTGGTAGCACTGCTTGTAGAGAAACATACTAAAACACTATGGGTCTTTCCCACACATAGTTGTATTTTCTTGTCCCAATTTTGGGTTTTTGCTCTTAATTCCGACTAGAAGGCAACTGAATGCAAAAGTACTAGACTAGATGTACTAGACTAGATGCAACTGAATCAGAAGTACTAGACTGGAATGCAATTCTAGAACTGAACTGAATTCTAGAATGTAGCAATCAACTGCATTCTAGTCGGAATTCCTAGGACCATGTGCTGCCCCAGCTGCGTCCTCATGAAGCACATCCGGGAGCACACGGTGGGAAGGGCCATGTGACTGACTTTAGTATGTGAACTGACTTACCCTCTGAACAATCATCTTTGGTTATCTGTTCTACTCCAGATACAACTTACAAGTGAATGAACCAGATAACACACTTAGTATGTATGGAGATCAATATAGTGTGGTTTCAGAACAAACAAGATCAGTGGAAATGAAGAGATTCCAAATAGGCCGGGCACAGTGGCTCACACCTATGATCCCAGCACTTTGGGAAGCCAAGGCAGGTGGATCCCTTGAGGTCAGGAGTTCAAGACCAGCCTGGCCAACACGATGAAACCCCGTCTCTACTAAAAATACAAAAATTACCTGGGCATGGTGGTGCGTGCCTGTAATCCTAGCTACCAGGGAGGCTGAGGCAAGAGAATTGCTTGAGTCCCAGAGGCAGAGGTTGCAGTGAGCTGAGATCATGCCACTGCACTCCAGCCTGGGCAACAGAGCGAGGCTCCAGAAGCTGAGGCATGAGAATTGCTTTAATCTGGGAGGCGGAGGCTGCAGTGAGCTGAGATGGCACCACTACACTCCAGCCTGGGTGACAGAGTAAGACTCTATCTCAGAAAAGAGAAATAGATCCCTGCATATATGAAAATTTAACATATAGTAGTAACTGGTATTAACATTCAGTTTATAGTCTAGATTTTGTGGGGTTAAAAGAAGAAAAAGGCTGGGCGCGGTGGCTCACACCTGTAATACCAGCACTTTGGGAGGCTCAGGTGGGTGGGTCACAAGGTCAGGAGTTTGAGGACCAGCCTGGCCAATATGGTGAAACCCTGTCTCTACTTTAAAAGAAAAAAAAAAAAAAAAAAGCCAGGCATGGTAGTGCACACCTGTAGTCCCAGCTACTTGGGAGGCTGAGGCAGAAGAATCGCTTGAACCTGGGAGGCAGAGGTTGCAGTGAGCCGAGATCATGCCACTGCACTCCAGCCTGGGTGACAGAGCAAGACTCAGACTCAAAAAAAAAAAAAAAAAAAAAAAAAATTCGGCCAGCCATGGGAGCTCATGCCTGTAATCCCAGCCCTTTGGGAGGCCAAGGCAGGTGAATTGCTTGAGTTCAGGAGTTCAAGACCAGCCTGGACAACACAGCAAAACCCCATCTCTAAAAAAATATTTTTTAAAAATTAGCCAAGTATTGTGGTGTGAGCCTGTAGCCCTAGGTTCTCAGGAGGCTGAGGTAAGAGGATTGCTTGAGCCCGGGAGATCAAAGCTGCAGTGAGCTGAGATTGCACCACTGCACTCCAGCCTGGGTGACAGAGTGAGACCCTGTCTCAAAAAAGAAGAAAATAAATCAGTTAAATGAGAGCGGGTTACTTCTAAATGGCCCTTCAACAATTGGTTATCCAATGAAAGAAAATGAAATTATATTTAAAAAATTTTATGCAAGAAAAACTCTATAATACATATACGATCTAGGGTCTTGACCAAGACTAGATGCAATAGAAAATTATGTATGTTTGTCTATATAAACATTAACTTTTACAAGAAAAAAGATGTCACACTTGCTGGTAGGCAAAGGGTATTTTGTAGGGGAAAATTCTGAACAGTGTAAACTGCTACAAATTGAAAAATGGACAAAGGATATGAATATGCAATTCCTAGGAAAGCAAATCCAAATGGCCGACATGAAAAGCTGCCTATTCAATTAAGGTAACAACATCAATCTATATTTATCAGGCCAACTGAACAAAAAAATAGTAACACCAACCACAAGTGGGAAACAAAACAGTCTCACATGCTGCAGGAAGAGATGTGCAACGAGGGCCTAGTTAGAAAAGCGGCAATATCTATTGAAATGAAAAGTTCACACACTTTTACACAGAAACCTTCCTTTTGGGAATATAGCCCATAGGAGTGAACTATTAATTCATTTTGATATTTGTACAAGATATAGCAACAGTTTGTTACGAGAAAAATTATAAACACCATAGTAGTGCAGTGGTTTAACTGCAGTTCATCAACACTATGGAACATCACATAGCCATTCAAGAGAATGACATGAAGCTACCTCAGTTGATGTAGAGGGACCTCTGAGTATTACGGAGAAAAGGAAGATGGAGAAAAAGAAATATAACATGATTCCATTTTTATATATGTACATAAAAGTGTATATATTTCTAAGATATTAGCACAGAAAAGCAGGATACGTATTAGATCATCCACGAGACCCCCAGGGAGGTGGGCAGATGGGAGGCTGGCAGGATGAAATGAGTAAACAGACAGAAACCAGAGCTCTCAAAAATGCTTCAGGTTCAAGATGACAGGTTGAACACAGTTAAGACATCCACTAAAATCACAGTAAAAGCACATTCCTCAAGAACACGAATGGGTATAAGAGTGAATGGACTATTTAAAATGAAAAGTAATTGACTTAGCAGGAGAAAGCTACAACTGGAAGGAGGAGAGGCAAAGCACTAATTCACCTACAGAATCCGAGAAAGGCTCAACAGAAAGGGGCAACAGCAGAGAAAAAACAAAGATACTCCACTCATCACGTAAAAACAGAATGCCAAACATAAAGATTAAGAGCAGAAAGGGCTCGTAGCTAATCTTTAAAAATGGACAAGAAAGATTAGCAGATAAAGTAGAGGAAGTCTCAAAAAGAATAGAGAGACGAGGAAACCAAAAACAGAAGGGGAGAAAGGATATAAGACACATTATTCTCTGGCATCCAGGGGGCCCTACCTCCAGAGCTGGATTCAGTAAGGCTGGGCTGGGGCCCCCAAACCTGTACGTCCTAACAAGCTCCCTGGGTGATGCTGCTGCTTCTAGTCTCAGGTCCACACTTCGAGATCCTGAATCTCAGGGGTCTTCGTGCAAACACAGAGGGGACAGAGGGGCAGAACTTGCAAAAGAATGAACACAAAACACATTTCTCAGACGGAAGGTCACGATGCTCCAGGTTGAAAGGGCTCATCAAGGGAGGAAAGCAATCAATAAAAAGACCTTCACTGAGGCATAGTTCTGTGAAATGTCCAAATATCAATAAAGAGAAGATCCTACAAACATCTAGTGAGGAGTAAAAGGGTTCCGACAAAGGAACAAGAATCTGAATGAATATAGACAAAGGAATGCTGATCCAATTTATATGGTAAAGGTATTTCCCTGGCTGCTGAGAAGGAACTGGATGGGAGGAGACAGCCAGGCCTGGAGTGGTACAGGTAAGTGAGATGTGAATCAAGATAGGGCTGGGAACCTAAGAGTGGATCTGAGGGAATTTTTAGGAGAAAACAGAACTTGATGATGCTTTAGGTTTAATCTGGGGGTACTGAGACCAACGTACACAAACGGTGACATCACTGAGTAATCCAAGGAGCCTGTAGGATGGCGGGGTTTAGGAGCTGGACAAGTTTGACAAAGTAAGAGCTTTGTAATTCCATTCTGAGACATCCAAGGAGAAAAATGCTGAACAGGCATCTGGATATTTGGGTCTGCAACTCAGAAAGTATGGACTATAGGTGTAAACTCAAATGCTCAGCCTATACATGGCCTTACTTATAAGACAGTCCACAGTCTACCAAAAAATGTGCAATGATTTCATAAAACAGTAGCTTCCAAAAGATAAGGTAACTTCCAAAATGGGTGTACCTTTTGAAAATATTTTCATTTGTATTTCTCTGAAGTGCTTGAAACAGCTCTACTGAGCACTCCACAAATCCAGAGTGTGCAAATTACAATGCTACCTGCCTCCCAGGAGCTCTCAACAAGATGCAAAGATGTGGATTCCACTGGTTTGCTTTCCATTTGGGGAAGCCAATCACTAAGTTCCAAGACTACAGATTAAATCCCTCGTGTTATGAAGGGACAGGATGTGAAGTGATTTTGGAAACAGGTTTCTGTCCGTGCAGCTATGTGAAATCATTTTCACATACTGGACGTCAACGGCTTCAGACGGCTAGACTCTACCCTGTCTCTCCACTTCCTGTACACAAAGTATTTCTTCACCTGAATCCGAGACCGTGCCAGATACACGTTGGATTTCCATTCAGTCTTCATCTTCCGGTACTGCGAGGACTTGGAGTGAACAAACTGTTTACTATAAGGTGCGTTCAGTTCTCCAGTGACTGTGCTCTGAAATGACTTTGAGGTGCTGGTGCTGTTTAAGGTGTGAGGCCTGCAGACAATGGCATATCAACAGGAAAAAAATAAAAGGAAAACTGAAGATACCTCTGAGTAATGCCCAAAACCAGGTTAATTCAAATTCTTACTGACAGAAACATACATGGAAAGCTGCCTAGCAGAGACACACGGCGAGTTCTCTTATGTAATTGGGCACATACACAGCCAGACAGCAGGGTTTGTAAGCAGCAGACAAATCAAGCACAAGAAACCACTAATACGCCTAGAAACCCTGGGCTGTACTATGTGAAGTTAAAACAAAATACCTTAACACAAACCTCTTGACATGGGCACTCATTTTAGGTTCAGAACGGGCACAACCTGTGGGGTTAACGGCAAGAGGAAGTTCCATGAGAGGATTTCGGCCGTATCGGAAGGTATAGTTTTCACATGCCTCAACCCCAGGTAGCTGAAAAGAAGCAAAGTAGACACAAAGTCAACCCATCTGATGGAGACTACAGACAATCTCAAGCTGGTCAAAGGATGGCCCACGGCAGAAATAACTTGTCAACATTTTCCTCGATACTAAAATGGTCTTCTAGCTTATGTTCACACTATCAGCCTGCAGGTAGATCTACTTAAATATGAGTAAGCAAATTCAGTTTCAAAGCCACACTTAGGTAAACCCTGCCAAATGCTCCTTGAAGAAAAAGATTAGCCCATGCAACAAACACTGGCTGACCAATGTACACGCTTGTGTGATTTCAGGGTCTGCCTATTCCAATACCCACAACACAGGGCATGTAGTGATTCGCATTTAGTTCTTTCACCTGGATTAATGCCAACTTTTCTATCTGTGTCTGGAATTTTACAATTAAGAATAGCTTAAAAATCATGTATAAGGTTTCTTTCTTGATCATTTCTCACTTCTTTCAACTTGACTTTGATATGATGAGGTTGTCACTCTCCATGTCCTGGGAACACAGAGCACAGGTGTTAACTCAAGGTTTACTCAAAGTAATTTACATGTTAAACGTCTTTTCTGGAAGACATTGCTTGTGAAATTTATTTCTCTACAGTCATAAAAGATAAGCATCATTTAGGCAGGGCCATTCCAAAGAAAACAATTAGGCACATTACTCAGTGGCTTTTGGGGCTTCCTCTGCTTCTCCAAAGAAAACACATCAATGATATTTTTATTCTTGAAAACAACGCCTTAGAATCATACAATTTTCTAAAACTATTGTGTAGATATGGTTCAGTTAGACTCACTGCCAAACAGGCTTGTAATCTTTTAAGCAAAGAGATGTCAGAGGACATAAATCAGTGCTGCTGCCATCTACTGCCCTCTAGTGACTTCACCCTAGGAAGAGGGCAGGAGAGTGGCCATAAATACCTAGTGTCAGGAAATGGGCACACTGACATTCTGAGGTGGGAGCAACTTTAGAAAGGCAAGGGAAGAGGAGAGTGTCCTCACCCATCCAGCACACCCAGAAGATGTGACAAGCCTGGTGTCCTTCACCCCTGCTTGCCTCCAGCCTGGAAAAGAACCTTAAGTTTGTTAACTACCTCAATGGGTGAATACCACGTACTGAGTTCTCCCGATAAATCACCAATGCCTTGTTTCCTCTAAGACAAACGGGTTAATCCACAGGCTAAGTCACTTTCTGAAGAGTGCCATAAATGTTACAGCATGTGTTCAAGAGGTCACACTGAATTAGGAAAGCAATTCCAACCTCAAAGCCTGACCAAGACACTCACTGATTCCGCTATGCGTGCCACTGCAGAGACGGTCAGGCCAAACAGATCCTCTCCTTTTAAATATGCTGGGAAAAGCTGGAGCATTTCAGATTTTTTTCTCACACATGCCACAGGCTCCAGTATCTTATCCCAGACACCTACATAGGGACAAAAACATAATTTTTATGGGAAATAGGATACAGTATAAAAAACAAGAGCAAAATGAAGAATAACCACTCACAAAGATTTACTAATTTCCAAATAAATCCTGTTGGGCAATAATCTAATAAGTCTGTTTGGTAATAATCTAATGAATTTGTTTATTAAATGGCAGCAATTTATTTTAAAGACCTGAATTTTGGAGAAAATAATAGATTAAGGACATTAAAGTGGAAAAATTTAATATAACTGAAATTCATGCAAACAGTTCATTACTTTCATACTGGCCATATAACATATCAGATTATAAAATGATTAGTCTAATTGGTAATGTCTATAGGTATGTTCCTTTCCCCTCAGATTTAAAATGTTAAATTGATATCTTCTTTGGAATTATCTTTAGAGCATTTTCAGACTTTTTTTTAAGTGCTAAACTTAAGAAAGCAGCTCTACATACTTTTGTTTGTGTACTTTCTACATAAGCAAAAGTGGCAATCTAGACTTAACCACGGAGGTCCAGACTAAGTGTTTAATTTCCATCTCTAAACTGAAGTAATATCTGATGCTAAGATAAGACAATGTATACAGTATGGTTTAGATGTCATTCCTGCCTTCTAGAAGCTGACTTTAAGAAAAATGGGGTCCCCGCGGGGTGCAGTGGCTCACGTCTGTAATCCCAGCACTTTGGGAGGCTGAGGCAGGTGGATCACCTGAGGTCAAGAGTTTGAGACCAGCCTGGCCAACATGGTGAAACCCCTAAAATACTAAAAATACAAAATTAAAAACTACTAACAATACAAAAATTAGCTGGGCATGGTGGTGCATGCCTGTAATCCCAGCCACTCGGGAGGCTGAGGCAGGAGAATCGCTTGAACCCGGGAGGTGGAGGTTGCAGGGAGCTGAGATCGCACCATTGCAGGCCAGCCTGTGCAAATAGACAGAAACTCCATCTCAAAAAAAAAAAAAAAAAGGAAAAAGGAGGTTCCCAATGCAAATGACAGGCAACCTTTATCTACAAATCATTCTCAGATTTACTTCACCAACTCTTATGTTCAAAGATATATTGACAATGAAAGTCTTTAGACAACTGTATAGCAGAGAGAGCAAGGTGTGAGAACACAAAGAAGACTGGCATTTGTGAATGAAAAATACACATTATAAAATATAAAATGAACACGAGACAAACATGAAAAACTGACAAAATGCATTCGTTAGCCTGACATCAGAGTAAGTAGTCTGCACAGCATGTGAATGGCAGACGTTACCTTTAGGTGAGATGTCACTTAGAACCAGGTCTTCATGGCCTTGTTCCACAATCCTGATGACAAACACTGGGCGCCCGTCCTTCTCCTCAATGGAGCACAGGTAGCGGCAGCGCCTGTTGGCATAACGCGTGCTCCAGTACAGCCGGCTGGCTTCATAGCCCACAGGGAAGAGTGCTTTAGGAGAATGGAATGCTTGCATCTGCTGTGGAAGCAGCTGACCGATTGTGTGGAAGATGAGGCTACCCACGCGAAAGGTATGGTCCCGTTCTCCTCGTTGCACGATGCTAGCAATCTGTCGCACCTCATCACGCTGAACATAGACCCTCCTGAAGACTGCAAAGTAACTTAATTCTTGCTCATGAATTCCCTTTGGTTTGTGCATGGGGCAAAGCATAGTTTTGTCCTTAAAAAACATGCATTGTGCTTTAATGGCGCAAGTAAAGTGATAAATGTTGGTGCATCGAAATCTGTGGCATCCACTAGTGGCACCTGTCTTGTGACAGAAGACGCATTTCATTTGTAGGCCTCTCCTCAGAGCTAGCTCCACATTTATTAAGGCACCAGCCTGAGTCTCATAGACCTCCGTGGACCACAGAGCGCAGTTCAAGTGGACCCACAGATCCAAGTCAAGGTTGAGTAGCCTTGCTGGTCCATCTGTCAATCCATCACCTTCTTCATGACAAAAGCAACATTTCCGATAGTCTTTGGGCACAGGATCAGGTTTAAGGGAAGTGCCCAATTTCTTTAGAAATTCATCTATTTCATCCTCACAAGGTGGTTTAAATGTCCCCTTAGGGATTACAATATGAATGCTCCACTTCTTCCATTTCATTCCTCTCCATTTTTTATTCAGCGGCCTACAGTCTTCAAACCCACCATGGACAGTTCTTAGCCGAGGCTTCAGCTTGACTGTTACCTTCAGCTCATCTGGCTTGGCCTCTACTTTGGCTGCTTCAAAAGCAGGAGGGAAGGCGATAGGCGGTGAGGCAGGGGGAGAAGCTTTGTCCTGGAGCTGGGGGAGACAGTGCACATCCAAAGTGGAGATGTTGTTGCTGTACTGATGAAATGCTTTGGAAGGCGTTTCTCTCATAGGTGATTGTGGCAATGAAGGAATGGATTCCTGGGCAACAGAAAGAAACCATGACAAAGAAAAATAATTCACAAGCCCGAAAAGCAATTCTTGTTAAGAAACTGAGCAGTATGACTGAAGAGGATGTGTGACCTGAGGGGCAGAGGGAGAGTCTGCAGTAAGTGCTGGGGCTCACGCATCGCAGAAACTGACCCTGCTCTAAGGTGCACAGGGATAGAGAACGGGTGACGGCAGCTGTGCCGCATCCTTTCCAGGCCTTATCCACAAAGCCATAATTCTGGAGAATATTCTGTTCTTACACTTTCTGGGACAATCCCCTTTCTAACTATATTAAAACCAGAAAAAGAAAGAAAGAAAAAAAACCCACAATGCTTTCAGAAGAACTAATATAATTTGTACAACGGAACAGTGTTTTTTGCTTAACCAAATAAGAATGCTGCAACATCACTTCTTGAGAGCTTATCTCCTCTCTAAAATTCACATCTGTTAATCTCAGGCTTAATCAACTGGTGTAAATGTCAGAGAAAGGGAAGGAGCCCCTGTCAACAAATGAATCATATTAACTTTTCTCTGAGGCTTCTCAGCTCTGATCTGGCCGCTGAAAGAGTTGAGCTGAGAGGAAATCTCCAATAGCTTATTTACTTTATGGTACAGAGTATCATAAACTAATAAAAACCAACCCATGGGGGCTGCCCTCTCTTCACATGCCCCAATCCTGACAAGGTACCTGAAAAAAGACATGCCTCACACCAAATCAGGCAGGGACTGCAATCAACTTAAACTATATGGTGAAAAAAAACCTCCTTGCATTTAAGCTGATACATTTTAAGGTCTAAATTTATCTGTCATATAGCTTGGATTTTATTACAGGCATACTACACACAACTACCTGTTAGAAGGAAGTCTTCAGAATGTTCTTCTGTGAAAGACATACTAGAGCAATAACCTGGATGGAGGACTGACTGGCAGTAATAATGTAAAGGAAAAGCTTCCTTCAAAACATGATTACGAACATATCATTTGTGTCAACTGTTCAGCTGGACACACTCAAATTACACAAAATTAAGTAAAGCAGACCTCTTTCACCATACTGTGAGCAAAATGTTTTCTCTTAAAATGCACACAAATAGTCTTAAATTTTATCTTTAAACAGGTTTTCCTATCGGGGTAACATCAATAGAAGTAATTTTAAAATACTGATTAAGATATTTACGGCTAGGTGCGGTGGCTCACACCTTTAATCCCAGCACTTTGGGAAGCCGAGGTGGGTGGATCACAAGGTCAGGAGTTGAGACCAGCCTGGCCAACATGGTGAAACCCCATCTCTACTAAAAATACAAAAATTAGCTGGGCATGGTGGCGCACACCTGTAATCCCAGCTACTCGGGAGGCTGAGGCAGGAGAATCGCTTGAATCGGGAGGCGGAGGCTGCAGTGAGCCGAGATGTGCCATTGCCCTCCAGCCTGTGGGACAGAACGAGACTGTCTCAAAAAAAAATATTAAACTGGTAAAATTAAAGATTTTAGTATTAGTGTTCTATTTACTTAACTTTTAAAAAGTAACTCTGCCCACTTTTGTCAAATAACTAAGTTGAAAGGGCAGCACGACTCAAGGCTCTCCACATCTTCTCCTCCTCTGCCGCGACAGCATCTGCCTTGGATTTCCCACACAGAGCTCCATGAAGGCAGGGACACATCTGTTTATTCACTCCCACATGCCCAGAACAGAAATCACTTGTTATACATTGTTATCAGCTGAGATTATCCTCATCTCACCTTGTTTTCTGAGTTTTTTGCTTGTGCAGTTGATGAATAAAGAATAAAGCAGTTATTACTACAAAAAACAATATCCTTCTCTACCCTCTTGGTGCTTTCTCGGGAATCCTGAAAAGCAAAGAGAAATGTGTGGGAATCTCAGCAAGTCAAAATTTAATAAAAACAGGATCTATACATTGTTTTTATGTTATATTCAAAAGCGACAATGATTCTTTATCTTAATAGCAGAAAGAAAACTATGTCCCAATATTTAGCATGTGATAATTTAGCTAGGGAGAAAATAAACGTACAGAACCAAACTATGTGGTCCACAGTTCACTCTATTTAAAATATGTAGTCCTCATAATATTCCATTTAACAGCCTGTTGTAGGTCTTTGGTGTTCAGCTCAAGCACGTCTAACATATGCTGATGCCACCACCAGGAACATGTGTCCATCACACCACCATGAGTGGTGTCTCTCTCTGATGTTGGAAGAGACACTGCCAAGGACAATTTCGCTGGAGGTAGGAGGTGGGGTCATAAAAGGAATAGCAAAGTACCTTGTTCAAAAGGGTCAGATCTTTGAAAGATTTCCGCACACCACTTCCAAGAATAACCACTTTACAATGACAACACCACTGTGGTCTGAGTGCTGTGCTTTCTGCAATACCATGACTAGAATCCTTATATCCAGAAAGACCTAAAGGCAATCAACTTTTGTTAGTAATTAAAACTGACTAATGACACAAGGTGGCACATGGTGAAAAATTATGTAACATCAACTCATTACAACATGGTTCATTAACTTTACATTATTCTTTAATTATTAAAAAACTTATCTTTTAAGCAATGGTTACAGAGTCAATTATCTGACACTAGGGCCGAAATAAAGAAACATTCCTATTCTCAAATAGCCGGGAAAACAATGGCAGTATAAAAGAAGAATCTAATTAAACTAAGTCGCCAAGAGAGATTACTATTCAGTCTAAGTGCAAAGTAAGACAGAGGGGGAAACAGATATTACTTTTGCTTGCAGGTTAAGATGGTAAAAAAACATTTTATGAAAGATACAATAATAAATGTGTAAGAGTCTTAAGTAAGTGTGACTTACAGAGTCAGAAATGAGGAAAGAGCCAAGGCCAACGATAAGAAGGTCAGGAATTAGAAAGCATCATTCAGGTGCAGTGTGAAGGCAAAAAAGAACAGGGAAAAAGTGACAGAAACAGCTAGAAGCCAAGAGGAGGAAGCCAGGGCCTGGACTGAGTATGCTTGTAAGACTGCCAGCAAGGCAGGAAGGAAAGCAACATCATGGTTGGTCTAAGGAAGTTGTTCCATTCTCAGAGATGGGAGGCATGAACACCTCTGTGGGAAGAGAAAGGCCCTGTAGAGCTGGTGCAGAGGTAAAACAAGAGGGAGGTGAGGATGGAAAGCGGAGAATGGGAAACAGAACCCACGTCAGGTCGCCAGCTCCATCTGTACCAGGTGGCCCAGGCGCAGTGGGATGGGGGTTGGGAGGCAGGAAGAACAAAAGCTGCTCGAGGGCAAGCCCATCACAGGCTTCTTCTGGCAGCCTGCGCAGATGGCTGGCACCCACATGGTGACAGCATGACAGAATACACAGGCCAAAGCACCAGAGGTCAAATCACACCACAGAAAACAGAACGCCCACACATGGTGAGTTCACCAAGGACTATACACCAGCATGTTACCTGTCCATAGTTAAAAGATAATTGGTATCTCAAAGAGTAAGCTTAACTTTTGAATCAGGAATGGATATGGGGTTAACAAAAAGCTCATTAGCTCACCATTGCTTGTTGGAGGAAATGGTACATTAGGCTGCTTCAGCCGGTAAGAGCTCACTAATCTGGGAGGGTTTGCAGATCCTGGTGGAGGCCCACGGAGAAGTAAATGCTGTCGATACTCCAAACCCGGGTTGATTCTGTGGCTACTGACCAAACCCATGGATGGGACATCTGGAGCATTGCTAACCTCATAGCTGTTAGGGATTCGGACGTGAAGAAGGTCGGAAAACGCAGCCACAACACTACTAATGTTCTAAAACCAAATGCAAATGCTGTGTTATTCACCCAGAAGGCAACAGTGAACCACTGAAGAAAAATACACACTTAGGATAAATCCTCTTTGCATGATACATAGATTCTAAGAAAATCCAACAAATTTTATTTAGACTCAAAGAGTCTCAGGAAAAAAATTAGCTCTAACGAACCAATATCCAAAAAAAACAAAATTTATGAACAGAAATCCTCTTAAAGGGATTCCAATTAACATTAAATATCTAGGAACACATTAAACTATTTTAGGTATTGTAACATCGGACAGGCCCGTCAGTTCCCACAGGTGGTCAGAAAGCTTCCTTCCAGGGGCTTCCCTCCAGCTCTGGCCAAATGTGACACAACCCATAAGAACAGACAAAGGTCTTGCTATTGCTGTATTTTGTTGATAACCAAAATATCACATCATTGGACTTTAGTTTGGTCTCTACTGAAATGTCTTCACAGAATTCAGAGTTAAAAAAATAAAAAATCCTCAGCAAATTACTAGTGTCTGATACAAGCAGATGCTACTTTAAGAACATTTCTATTGCTTCTGCAAAACTGTTATTGTTGATAAAGTTCTTTTTCATTAATTTTCTTCTCTGTTAACGGTTATAAAGAAGTTTTTCTCTGAGCTGGACATGACGGCTCACACCTGTAGTCCTAGCTACTGAAGAGGCTAAAGCAGAAGGATGACTTCAGCCCAGGAAGTTTGAGGCTGCAGTGATCTATGACTGTGCCACTGCACTCCAGCCTGGGTAACAGAGGGAGACCGTGTCTCTATTTAAAAAAAAAAAAAAAAAAGTTCTCTAAAGTATGCGTCCTTTAATAAGAAAATGTGAGCTCTAATTTCCCTTTTTACTTGACGTAGGCTGAGACCAATTCAGTGACAAAGGATGGCACTCAAAGGCAGGTGGGAGGTCTGCAGTGAGCATCAGCCCTGCTCTCTGACCCTTCATCCCCAGTGATCCTGTTGTGTGTGTTTCATGGTAGACACCTGACCCATCTTTTAAAATTGGGGACATACTGTTTAAGAAGTCATTTAATCTTTTACCTCAGCAGCTGTAGGATGCAGAGTAATTGCTACAGATATAAGACCCGATCTGGGACCATTTGGGGAAGAACCAAAAGGTGATGCAAAATATAAAGTGCCTGGCTCAGTTTTGATGTCATTCCTTCTTGATTCGGAACCTTAAAAAAAGAGAGGGAAAAAAAAGAGGAAAAAAGTGTTAATAATGGATTTTCAAAATCAAAATATTTACATTGGTAAATTGGCATAGAGTAAAGGGAAATAATAAGGTTAAGTGTTTTTCTTACTTTTCCCAGCAGTGCTAGGAAGAATTGGAATGATGGGGGATGGCACCGGTTCTGGAGGCTCCTCCTTGACCAATGACAGATCTGGGTACCTGCTCACTTCTACCCCAACCACACTCTCAGGAGAGGACGAGGGAACAAAACTGTCAGGAGTGTCTCGATCACCACAGTGATCCTGTATCCTGAAAAAAATAAACACACCATCAAAGTGTGCAAATCCACCCGTGGGGGCTCCCTGTGCCAACCCTGCTGACATCTGTGAGTACAGCTGTAAGGACACTCTGGCAGCAGCACCTATACGATGCACAGCAAATGAATCAGCTCAGAGCCACACTGGGAAGAAAATACAAGAACAATATTTAGCTACAAAATAATCTAAATGGTATGCTTCCTTTTAAACAAGGCTTCAGCACCAAAGTTTGAAGACCTGCCAAAGAGGAAGATGTTCTGATTAGCACATAACATAGAAAGCATCAAAGCACCTTTTCAAAATCCCAGATCACTGAGCCTAGGGCAGCACTCCTGTAGCTTGAAAAGGAAAGAGCTGCTGGTTGGATTTAACTAAAAAGGAAGACTTTAAAAAGATTTTAAAAAGGAAACAGCAGTCCAAGCACATATGCAATGGTCACACCTGCACACACCAGACAGGGAAAACAGCCGTCCTACTGCACACGCCTGACCGGGAAAACAGCCGTCCTACTTCACTCACCTGACTGGGAAAACAGCCGTCCTACTGCACACACCTGACTGGGAAAATAGCCATCCTACTGCACATGCCTGACCAGGAAAACAGCCATCCTACTTCACACGCCTGACTGGGAGAACAGCTGTCCTACTGCACACACCTGACTGGGAAAACAGCCGTCCTACTGCTGCTCTTTACACTGGCAAGACGGGAGAAAGCTTGGCCATTGACTTCATCGGCCCTTATTTTTCTTAACTGATTTAAGTGAGGTGAGAAAAACAAAAGACTGGTCCCTCCTATTGAGTTCAAGTTCGAGTCTACCAGGGCAATTGTGAGGTCTCAGACTGAGTCACAGAACAACCCTGTGGAGCTGCTGTCTCCCACTCCTCATGCACAGAAGTTGCTGTCATGCAGGAGACCCAAGAAAGGCTGACCTGCTGAGGTACAGTAGAAAGGGGACCTGGATCCTCAATCCGGACAGATTATTCTCCACTTTGGTCCATAGTTTCCCCATTAATAAAGTAAGGGACTTAGCTTAAATAAATGTCTGATCAAATAGAGGGTAGTGGGCAGATTTTCCAAGAGGGAATTATTTGATGATGTTGTAAGAACCCTCTGGATCTAAAGAGTTGGGCAGCAATTATCTTAAACTCTCTTCCACAATAGCATTCTCTGATATCAGCAACTTCTGCTCTTTCATTTTAGACACCTACAAACAACACTAAATCGCATTAATAGCCTTTAAAGGACAATGATCTCTGAAATATGTTGCATGGAGATTTTCCATTGCCTTAATGTCTATTATTGTCATGTAACTCTCTATAGGATGTAAGCTTAAAAAAATGCAAACTAATTATGTTTAATGGTAACAATGTCTTAAAAACTTTAAATCCTAAAGATTCACCAAATTTTACTCCTCAAATGTTTTTACATGCTATTCCTAAAGACATTATGCCACATACATACTTTTTTTAAAAAAAGAAATAATTAAGAATTATTTGAGAAGAAAATAACCTGTACCTTAATTCTTCCTGATTGTTGTGAGGTGGTGTTGGGAGGGAGGCTGGCACATCAACTGTCTTGGGGCCCTGAGCAAGCGCTCGGGCCAACAAGTCATCCTGGGGTCTGAAGGGCAGCTGAAATGGTTTAGGTCCTAGAGTTTTGGTAACTGGAAAAGCAAAAACACAAAACCATAAATACATTTAGTCAACATTGATAAACAGGTAGAACTTTACAATTATATTGCCATTTCACAATACACAACTGGCAGAGGTACATTTCGCCGAGGTGTGAAATTTGGAGGCTATAATCATACCTTCGTGGCTCACTAACACTCCGGCTTTTCCAGCAAGTTCTTCAGTTGTTGCAAAACCATTGGCCATCTTCTGACAAGCCATAGGAGGTGGTGTAGGAGGAAGAGAGGCAGGGGGTGTTGGAGGATTACTTAAATTATTCTGCTGCAGGAGACCAAAAAATTTAAATTATATGCTACTGAGCAAATATGCAATGACCTTGCTAAAACTTAGTTCTGTGAATTTTATGCACATAGAAGCAAGGCTACAGAAATGTAATCAAGAGGTACCTTGCACACTAAGAAAAATAATACATACAAGGCCAGGAGGCTTCTTAGTGGAACAGATTCTCGTGATTTTATGGACATATCAACTTGCTTACTTTATCCAACTTGACTACTTAAGCTCTGAAATTAAGAAGCTAATTTTCTTTATACCTGACTTTATTTATGCAATTCTTCAAGTTTCATGGTTATAGCTAGTGAAGGATAACTTTAAAATGCAATCAATAAGTTGCAAAAAATTATCAAAATTTCCTTTCAGTTATCATTAAGATACGTCCCAGTTCTACAAAAAACTTAAGAATTTCTGGTCTTAAACTTGTAATACAACTCACATCCAAGATATGAGAATCTGGATTGACTAAGACCTTTAAAAGAAGCAACAGTCGTAATACTAAAGTAACAAAATCATTAATGTAGTTCCTCTTCAGACACCTCTCCCAGCTTCACAGTCACCACCAAGTTGTCATTTACTGATTGGTTTCTCAAGGAGAGAGTTGGAATCTACCAATAACACCATGTCAATCAAGTGCAAGGTGAAATTACAAATTTTGTAAAGATAAAGAATTTCATGAGGATGATAAAGTAAGGTTGGAGAACAGCTTATGCCAGAAGAAAAGATACTTGTAAGAGTTAAGATAGGTTTTTTTTTTTGGAGACAGAGACTTGCTCTGTCACCCAAGCTGGAGGGCAATGGTGCAATCATGCTCACTGCAGCCTTGACCTCAGGGCGTGGTGGTGCATGCCTGTATTCCCAGCTACTTGGTAGGTTGAGGCACTAGAATTGGTTGAATTTGGGAGGCAGAGATTGCAGCGAGCTGAGATTGCACCACTGCAATCTGGCCTGAGTGACAGAGCGAGACCCTGCCTCAAAAATAAAAAAATAAAATAAACCTACAATAGTCTAGGAATTAGTTGTAATACCTAAATTATTAGATGAGATACATTTAAAATTGTTTAATTTCATTTTTCAAGGTAAAATACTAACTGCTTTTTAAAAATCCCCACCATTTATAATGATTTTGAATTCATTTTAGGAGTTAATAAAGGTTATACGGAAATAAGGATTTCCATTACCATGGAAGTACATAATAGATATTTCTTGCAATTTGTATTCTTACCTATAAAAAAAACTTTAAATGTTTATGCTAGAAATACTTCAGGTAAAATTGTAACCCTGTAGCTGAACTTGTTTTAATAAAACTTGGAAGAGTAGATGTAAACTAGATACAAAAACAAGACAAGCTCTATCAATTCTGACATGTTACCCAAAGATGAAACAAGACAACACCTTGGCAGAGAAACATACCTTGTAGATCAACTGAGAATAGTAGTCCGAAACCCCTTCCAGGGTAGCACTGCCAAAAGTTCCTAGAAGTCGATTCCCACTATTAAATTGGCCACTGCCATAAGGAAGAAAGTGCGCAAAGTTCACTCCAATGATTGGTTCCATTAGAGGGAGCAGAGAGAGCTGCTATTAAAAAACACATTTAAGAGTAATGTACATGATAAAAGGGACTCAGTGTAGCTCAACTTTCTAAGACCCGAAGCAACTTTGCTGAATAAGGCTTCAGAAAAATGAGACTTAAAATTTTCAAGTATCAAAATGCTGGAGTAAGTGAGAGAGACTACAGACCTTTGAGACTTAAAAATAAGCTTTGTACTAAATGGACGCTGCCAGGTATCTAACAAGAAAAACATATTTCTTATCTTTGCTCAGCAAGAACGGGGGCATAAAACGAGGCTGAGTACCACCAACAGCACTGTTAGCGACTGTCTCCCACCTTCTGTGACAACTACAGAGGTGTAAGAATAGAACTGACAATGCATTTCTTTGGATCCAGAGTCACAACAAAGTACTGAGGACAGATTTTTCTGGGTACTGAGGCTACTCCTTATGAACGTAAGAAAATCTTGACTATCACCTATCAATCTATTTGTATTACCGTAAATTTCAGGTGCCAATAGGATATGGTGCAATTCTGCTTGGAAAAAGTCTACTAGGTTCCTTGTTCAGATGTCTTTTAGCATTTATCTCTCGTGTCCTTGAATTGTTTTTTTCTTTTTTTTTTGAGACAGATTCTCATTCTGTCACCCAGGCTGGAGTGCAGTGGCACAATCTCGGCTCACCACAACCTCTGCCTCCCAGGCTCAAGCAATTTTCATGCCTCAGCCTCCCAAGTAGCTGGGATTATAGGCGTGTGCCACAATGCCCAGTAAACGTTTGTATTTTTAGTAGAGATGGGGTTTCGCCATGTTGGTCTCGAATTCATGCCTCAAGCGATCCACCTGCCTCAGTCTCCCAAAGTGCTGGGATTACAGGCATGAGCCACCGCGCCCGGCCTATATCCTTGACTTTTTAGAGGGGCTGCTCTAAATGACTCACCCTCACCTGTTTCAAGTGGGTAAACGTATCGGTGCTAGAGTACATAGCTTGTTTCTCCTCTTCGTCCTTTTTCCTTTTCTTTGAGCGAGGTGCTGCTTTCTCACCCGTCCTCTGAGTCCGTTTGCTTCGCTGTTTCTTGGTTTCACTTCCTCCATCTGTTTTTGGCAACTGGTTGCCACATCCAAAACCACCTTGCATTTGAGCCCCCAAAGTTTGCTAATGTAATTGGAAAGGGTAAAAAATAAGTGAACAATTTGCACATTTGGTTTTCAGCTCATGCTACTTCAGTGCCAAGCTATGACGCACCATCCTAACATGCCACTAAAAATTAAATAAGGAGGGAAGATAGAGTGGTGTCAAATGCTGGTTTTCCGAAAATATCATCCTTTTCTTCAAACATTATTCTCAAGTATGGAAATCAGTAAGCTGCAAAGCTTGAGGAAAGAGCAGAACTCATTAGTAAGGCCATAGCCCTTTCTGGCAAAGCATTACCCCCTCATGCTGACCTCCCTGGGGCTGGAGCCCCTTATTCTTGCTCACTGACTCCAGAAGGGAAGGAGATGCTTGTAGATGGCTGTAGGAGCCTCTGCATAGTGGTCTTGCTGAGTTATTTTTGGTTCCCCTTAGGAACCAGTGAAATACGAGGTATGCTGAAACAATTCACAGGCTCCAGAAAAGCTTTATAGCCTATGCATCTTAGGTGAGAGAACAGATAGCACCACACAACAATAAAAAGAAAAAACAGCATTTCTTCAAATTAGTTCACAACTATATTTGACTGAAAAATAATGGCCACATACTTAAAGTCAATGGGAGAGAACCTAGATGATAACAAATAAACCTTTTCTTTACATTTATCATTACAAAGTGAGAATAAGCCAAGCCCTGAAAAGGCCTTTAAGGGTAGTCCTATCAATACCTTAAAATAAAGGAATATTTTCAGGCTCCATTATTTCTAAATTTAACAGCAATACTTTGCTATAGACAACTATAGTAGCTGAACTTACTGTAATGAATTCTGCATCGAATCTTTGAGGGTTCTGAAAATTAGTTTCCAGTTATATTCTAAATAGTTTAGCGCATAGATGGCAACATTTTTATGTAAAGAGCCAGATGGTAAATACTGTAAGCCTTTGTAGGCCATATAGCCCCTGGCATAATTACTCAACTCTGTCCTTGTACTTCAAAAGCAGCTATAAACAATTCATACAAAAATGAGCTTGGCTGTGTTCAAATAAAACTTTTAAAATTCACGGACACGTCTGAATTTTGTGTAATTTTTATGTGTCACAAAATACTACTCTTCCTTAGATTTTTTTTCAACCATTTAAAAATGTAAAAGCCATTCTTAGCTCATGGAGGGAGACGAAAGCAGGCTCAGACTACTCATCTCCAGGCTAGTTCTGTGGCTCTCAAGGGGAGTCTCCAGGGCAGAAGCAGCATCTAGAACTGGTTTAGAAATGCAGATTATCGGGTCCCACCCACACCAACAGAATCAGAAATGCTGGGGCCCAGCAATCTTGGTTTAACAAGCCCTGCTAGTGATCCTCACACTTTAGCTTTGAGAATCACCGGCCTACAGCAGTACTTCTCCACCTTCAGATGCACAGGAGTCACCTGGGGATCTTGCTAAGTCTCACGTTCTGAGAAGCAGGTCTGTGGTGGGAGACTCTGCATGTTACAAAGCTCCCACCCGATGTGGATGCTGCGGATCCCCAAGGACTGCACTTTGAGGGGCAAGAACCTAAAAATTTCTTAATTATATATGTGTATATATAGACTTAACTATATACATACATATATACTTATTTATTTAAATCACACTTTAATTAGGGGGGGCCTACATTTTTAAACTTGACATGTGGTTGTTCCCCATAGCATTACACATTCTTATACAGCACGAATTTTAATATAAACATGCTCAAAATGTAGTCTACATCCTTCAAGGAGCTATTTAAATAATGTTAAATGGTACAACAGAAACTGCTATGTGAGAACATGGGCATCAACACATATTTGAGATTGGAAGAGGTGAGAAAGGTATCTGGAAAAAGATGATTCAAGAACTGCGTTTTAAAAGATAAAAATATATTGGCCAGACATATATAAGAAAGGAGAACAGAAGAGGCAGAAGCAGCAGCATGTGGTATACATAGAAGGGTAAAAAGACAGAAGACTGCAAGTTATTCGATACTCCTCCGGGTATAAGATGTCTTAGAGAAAGCGGATGGAGACTGTGCTGGAGAGTTGGCTGTATTTACTGGTGACAAATAACTGTAAAAGCATAACCGCTAAAATTTACAATAATTACACAGGTCTACCAAGTCAACACTCAATCTTTACTGAATGGTCAAAGGCAAGAGAAAGAGCAACACTTGCAAAAAGATGAGCTTCATTAACAATCTTAAAACGAAAAAACTGGACAACTAAATATACACTCCACCCTTAATTAAAATATGAAAATAAAATCCAATTTGAGAAGCTCTCTAGGGACAGCTTTATGAATGCACTGGTAATGGCGCTGTACCTTCTGAAAGATACAACAGGCAAGAGCTATTAAACAGACCAATTCCCATGACTCAGAAACTCCAGTTTTGGAAATATCTTAATGAAGTTAACTGAAATAAAGGGGAGGGATTCTTGTAAAGGTATATTTACGACTTAGCTCTTCATATAAAAGAAAGAAAAAGCAAATTCAATGTTAATAACTTAAAACTGATAGAAAATTGATACATGGAAAACTACAAAATAGCATCCACATGTAACATTACGTTAAGTATCAATGCAACACTGTAACACAACAGGTTCCCAGTGTGGTATCCCGAAGAGTGCCAAGGGTATTCATAGGAGTGCACGGGCTATCCTCTGTATTTTAAAGAGGTGAATGGAAATTAATCACTTATTTACAATAAAGTACATAGACACTTACTTACTTTGCTTTAGTCATATCAACCAGTTGCTACACATCACATTACATATGAAATGCAATACATGCCTTTGCCTTTTAAAAAACAGTAAACAAATTATTTAATATAGTTTAGATATAAGTAAAAACATGGGTTCCAGAGAGGTAGAAATGATAAAATAAGAAATGGTCCTTTAGAATAAAAAGGTTGTAGAATAATGTGGAAATATAGTTGTTGGTACTAATCTGCTGTAAGTATAATTTAAAACAAAAGAAAAAAGTTGTCATTTTTATCATTTACACTTACCAGTCCTTCAGCTGGGTTCTGCTTCTCAACTAGTTTATTATCCTTCGTACAGTCATCTTCTGAACAAATATTGCCCTCAGGTTTTTGATTTAAAAGAGAAGATGACTTTTTATTTTTCAGTAAGTGTTTCAGAAGTTCATTCCCTGAGTCTCCTTTGGCAGCAGGGGCCCCAACAGAATGGGGAGGACTCTGTGCTGAGGAGACAGGACAGGCTACAGCATTTCCTTCTACCTTACTGCCACTCTGTTCCTCCAATTTAGGCTCCTCTTGGCCCGGGCATGACTCTGTCTCAGGCTTTTCCAGTTTTATCTCTTCTGTTTTGGCAGGGGTTTCCATGGAGAGCTTATCTACTTCTGAATTTGCATAAGTCTGTTGATTTGGAGTTGCTTGTGAGAAATCACTATTGGGCAGTTTGTTCTCTACTTCTGTACATAGCTGGCCTGCTGCCATACTGGGAGTGGATGGGCCGACTGGTTCCACCGACTCTTGGTCGGCCTGTTGAGGAAGCTCACTGGGTATGCTCACTGCAGGAGTAGAGGTAGTTTCTGAGATGCTTGGAGTCGGTGGAGCAGTTATATCTGAATGGGGAGTTGATGGAGCCTTGGTGGATTCTGCATCATCATCTCTTTTCTTTTTTCTTGTTCTTTTCTTTTTCCCTTTTTCCTCTGGGATTATATCAGAATACAACTGAATGAGCGATTGGGTTGATGCCGGATAACTGTGTCCATGGGTTATAGTAGAATCTTGGCCACATGGGAGACTGCTATTAGCTACTGGAGGTGTTGCTGGTAAAGCAGGTGTAAAAGAAGGCCTCACTGGAGACTGTTGGAAGCTGGTCCCAGAAAGACTTCCATGTCCCTGCTTAACAGAAGAAAAATTTGGGCTTCCAACAGGGATTGATGGTGAATCAGGAACAAATGAAGGAGGTCCTACCTGCCTTCGCTCATTAGTCTGCATGAAAGTTTGGGTGGAGGGTGAATTAATCGATCCTTGTTGTATATTCTGTTGCTGTAAAACCTGTCCCATTTGCTGTTGGTGTTGTGGAGACTGCTGAAGGGGTCTTGGAGGTTGCATAAAATCGCAAGGTAAGTCAGAACTGTAGAAGGGAATCTGGGACACAGATGTCCTACTACTACTTATCTCAGAGCCCACCATGCCATGCTGCTCCATTTCCATCCTCTGCTGCAAAGCTCTTTGTCTATCTACCTCTTGCATGAGTTGGATCCGTTGTCTCTCTTGCTGTTCTCGTAAACGTTCCTTACGTTCCCGTTCTTGAAAACTTTCACTAAAGGGATTGTTGTCATCAAATTCTACCCGAGGTGGTGGTCCACTCTGTGGATTTGCATTTGAGACTGTCCCTGGGGCTGGTGTACAAGTTTTTATTGGTAACTGGGCAACTGGGGGTTGAATTCTAGGAGGATTGAGGGGCAGGTGGGCAGGAGCACTGTTGGGCTGCCACCCAGGTAAATTAGGCATTCTAACAGGGCTAGTATGGCCAGAAATAACTGTTGTGTGCTGCTGGTGCTGGTGCTGAAGCTGCTGTGGCACCATGGGAAAGGAGGGTTGGCTCATGGTGGGTGGAGTGGCACCTGGAATTAGGGGTGGCTGGGGCTGGACACTGGGCATCATGGTAGGTGGGGCCATCGCACATTGCTGCTGCTGTTGCTGCTGTTTGATCCGATAATCTTCAATCAATTCAGCGTGTTCTTTCTGTTGTTTACGAATCTGGAATAACAAAATGCCTCATTACTCATTTATATACAGCACAGGTATTGAAGTAAAACACTGGCTGATGACTTTGGTTGAGGTTATACAGAGGGCAGTTTGGCCCCGTAGAAGCAAACATATTTTGCTTGGGTAACTGCAAAAGTCACAAAAAAGTTGAACTGATGAGGCTTAACTAATGACTATCAATCTTTCTTTAACAACAGGATTTTTATAAAGTTATCTGTAAAAGCGCTTCACATATGAAATATCAAAAACGGTTTTGTAAAATAAGTATTAAAATCTTGTGAAACTCATATATACTATTTATACTATACATCAAAAATACACAATAAAAAAAGTTACACAAGCAGCTAATTTTGATGTTCTAGAAATTACATTAATACACAATGTTAGAATAACAGACTTAACTCAAACTTGAATCATTTAAATATGTTAAGATTTCATTTCTTAAATATATAAATTGTACAACATTTTAAGACAAGATGAATTACCAGCATGAGTATCACACCATCCACCCAGATGAAAAAGACTAAGTTTATAGAACACTTTCAATTTAACGGCTAACACTCAAATTGTAATTTTTGAAATCTACACAAGCTCTGAGGTAGTATTTTGAATAGTCTAGTCTTTTTTTTTTTTTTTGAGACAGAATCTCGCTCTGTTGCACAGGCTGGAATGCGGTGGCCGGATCTCAGCTCACTGCAAAGCTCCACCTCCCAGGTCCATGCCATTCTCCTGCCTCAGCCTCCCGAGTAGCTAGGACTACAGGCACCCACCACCATGCCTGGCTAATTTTTTGTATTTTTAGTAGAGACGGGGTTTCACCATGTTAGCCAAGATGCTCTTGATCTCCTGACCTCGTGATCTGCCCACCTCGGCCTCCCAAAGTGCTGGGATTACAGGCGCAGGCCACCGCGCCCGGCAACAGTCCCTTAATATAACAGCTGAGTAATATCAATTAATTCATTCCAAAAACCTTTGTGTCCCAATGTGCTCAATACTACAGACCAAGTATCAACCAAAATGGAATCTATGTTCCAGAGGACCTCACCATCTCATTCAGCAAGCTAGAGAAAGAAGGAATGCAAAATGATGTGTATATCTTTCAACATCATTCAATTTTTAGACAAATATGCTAATATGCTAAACCCAGGAGTTCTAATCATTTTTCAAAGTATTTTCTTGGGTTCCCCAGGTAAACCAGTATTTTCTGCAAATAATGGTGTTTGATCTCTTCTTCAACAGTTGTGTAACACCTATTTTATTTTCTTATTTTTCCTGGCCAGTTTACTGGTTAGAACTGAGAAATTACCATTGGTTGGTGAAGTAGTAAGGAAGTACAGAAAGCACCTATAACAGCATCTGGGATATATAAGGTGGTCATCCATGTCTTTCCCATGATATTTTATAATACTTTTTAAAACATTACCATCAACTGCTTATCTTAATATGATTACACTGGATCTTTGGCAACTATGTAATAGATGATGTATCCCATTTTTCAAGTATTAGCTTCTAAATAGGATTTGATCCATGGATATGCAAAAATTAGGCCCTTATCAAAAGACCTTGTACAAATATGCCAGAAGGCAATAAAAGTGACAAAAAACAAAAACTTTATTAAACATATCTTTACAAGAATATTAACCTACAGTAAACATGAACCCAGAGAGTAGATTTAAAGAGAAAAGAAAACTTTCATTCTGGAATAATCTTAGTTTTAAACAATTGGAATTATAATCACCTTATTGTTGGTACGTTATTGTGGTAGCTGCGGTTTGAAGATAAGACACTTGAGTCCAAATCCCTAATCTAATAGTTATGAGCAAACATGTACAGTGGGGGTATTTTTTGGGATTTTTTTTTTTTTTGAGACAGAGTTTCGCTCTTGTTGCCCAGGCTGGAGTGCAATGGCGCAATCTCGGCTCACTACAGCCTCCACCTCAAGGGTTCAAGCAATTCTCCTGCCCCAACCTCCCAAGCAGCTGGGATTACAGGTGCCTGCCACCATGCCTGGATAATTTTTTGCATTTTTAGTAGAGATGGGTTTCGCCATGTTGGCCAGGCTGGTCTCAAACTCCTGGCCTCAGGTGATCCGTCCACCTCGGCTTCCCAAAGTGCTGGGATGACAGGCGTGAGCCACCACACCCGGCCACATGTACACAGTGTTTATAACCCCTACAATGAATCAGTTTATAAAATGGTTTGTAAAATCAGTTTGTAAAAAAATGGTGATAATACTAACTCCTTCAGAAAGTTGTAGATAAGACAACATAAGTGGAAGTGCTTCCTGCAGTGCTCATTATAGAGAGTACTCACATCTTTTTTTTTTTTTTTTTGAGATGGAGTCTTGCTCTGTTTCCAGGCTGGAGTACAGTGGCACAAGCTCAGCTCACCACAACCTCTGACTCCTTGGGTCAAGGGATTCTCCTGTCTCAGCCTCCCAAGTAGCTGGGATTACAGGCACATGCCACCATACTTAGCTAATTTTTGTATTTTTAGTAGAGACAGAATTTCACCATGTTGGCCAGGCTGGTCTCCAACTCCTGACCTCAAGTGATCCACCCACCTCGGCCTCCCAAAGTGCTGGAATTACAGGTATGAGCCACCGTGCCTGAATTGAACCTAAGTTTTTAATTTACTTGGGTAAATATACCTAGGAGTTGGCTCTGAACCCATTTTGTACACTATTATTGTTTTATTTTAAATAAAATTTTTATGTGTTTCTTCTTTTCCAGTATATTATTCAGTTTGAACATTCTGATAAACATCTGGTTTATAACAGAAGACAATGGCAAAAGGATTTTATTTTTCTAGAATGAGCCCTTCGCGTAAGATATACCAATGTATTTTAAGACCAAAACATTAAGAAATAATATCAACTCCAAGTAAACAAAAATACTTCCTGGGCCCCCAATTCTTATTCCCAACTAAACTCAGTATCTCCTCATAAGCTCGGTCCTCAGTTAAGTTGAATACTCTCAATGATGTATAATAGAAACATGGTCTTTGCAGTGATTTCTTAGTGCAGAAAAAACAACATCTCTAACTATACCAAGGCTGAAAATTGTTCTTCGAAGTCGAAATTATGAGACTCAATCTCTGTTGTGTCATTTATTGAGTATGTGCTGTGACCATCACTCTAAGTAAATGATTGGCGCTGTTATGGCTACAGGTACTAAGGGGTCTCAGAGCTGTCACTTTTTGGCAATATACTTTTAATGCTATTTACTACTCATCAAAAAAAATCACTAGTCAAAGTCACTAATGAATGACATACCAAAACATTCTACTCATTAATTGTTGGTAGTTTCTATTTTGCAAACCTATTTATTACCTGTTCTAGCTGTTTCTGAACCATGCTTTGCTGTTCAGTAACATGCTTGAGTTGTTCTGCATCTTCCTCTGGAAATTCACGCCCAGCTTTCTTGGCGGTACGCTGTTTAGCTGAAAGGGCCTTCTTAGATTTTCTATGAGCACCAATTTGTTCTTCAAGATACTTCTGCTGCATTTGAAGCAGCTGTTGGGTCTCCTGGAGCCACTCTTCATACTGCTTACGCTGTGAATCATCTGAGGAAAAATTAAAATTCAGTTGTGTTAATTTTCTAAAGGGTCCAACATTATAATAAGCTACACAAATCTATTTTGTAAGGAAGTAGTTTCACCATGACCATATAATAGGAAATTTGAAAACACAATACTAAATATTAGACCATTATGTAATAAAATATCAGATTTTAGAAAAATATTTAATTGAGAAAGCCAGAGAATACACATTCTTAAGATGCTGGTTAACTTAGCACTTATAAATATTACAAATCCAATCTTGGAAAAGCAGAAGACTTATGTAATGAAATTCTCTTTTTTTACTAAACAAATTCTCTAACCCACAAGCCAAACTACATACTAAGGTATACAGGCATTTTATGAACACAACTTTACAGATTTTGAAGAGACAAAGACATATCCCATTAAGGTCTAGCGCATAGACTAGGAAATCACTTCCCATGTTAATTTTCCTGAGTTTATAAGTTCTTTCCTATTTCTTAGTAACGAAAAAATATTCTAAATGGAGAGAAAGGGAACCCAGAATGTTTTAGAAGGGAATAATTTAAAGTCCATGACTTATAAAGGAAATCCATAAGTTGAAAACATTGGTAATTATTATTTTGTAGTTTATATTTTTTAAAATAAGGGGAGGGAAGAGTTAACCAAGCAAAATATTTTCTACTTTTACAACTGCCATTAATTCTCCCCAAATGGTTGTATCTCTTCATTTTGTACCAATATTCTCTTCTTTATTCTTTAAGGGCACTTTACTTCATTGACACCAAGTCCAAGGGGGGAAAAAAAAAAGTCATCGTATGTAGTGAAATTCTGAATATACCTTTTTGACTCACTACAAGACAAAGAAATGAATAAATACATTTCTAAGAAGGACATTCGCTGAAAATAACATCAATGATAACAGAATATTGTCATACATTAAGAATCCAACCAAAGCCAATGGGCACAATAAAGCCAGAAAAAGCCAGTTGGTATAGTTGTTTACTTGTTTTTAATGCAAATACGTATTCAAATTATGATAACAATTAATGTAGGGGGAATTGCAAAAGGTCAGACTTTGGGTTTGTTCCTAAACCCAGAAGTTCCAGTACATGTATGAACTTGAAATCTAGTCTACTAAATTTGAAGGGCATTTTTTAAGAACAGGCTTTTTCACAAGATTTCAGAAGTTCTGCTTCTGGTAGAATGAGACCTACCGCAAGGAAAGCCTTTCTGGTTTCTGGAACCAGGAGAGCAGAGGTGAGCAAAATGAAAAATAATGGTGAAAAAAAAGTTAGCTAAACAGTCTGAAGATTTCAGAAAGGTTCAGTTTGGGGAGAACTTTAAACACTATCCTGAACCACCTTGGGACCCCTGCAAATAACTAGAAAGGATTCAGGGGCACCTTGCATACCTGACCTTTACACCATGCTGCTAACCCAACTTACTGCTAAGTATAATCCCTTTGTTTTTCCCATTTAGTGTCCTTGTCACTTAGGAAGACAGTTCTTAGAGCAAAACGTGATTTAATTCTACAGATTGTAAAGTGCCCAATCTATATACAAAAACAGCAACAACAATATTGAAGAGAATGGGGAAGATGGTTTTTCTGTATTAAAATACTTTCCTGTAACTATAATTCTTCATGCACAGTGAAAAAAGCAATGAAAACACACGCCTTGAAGAAGAGTTGCCTAATAGGGCAGTGATGTTTAATAAGACAGGAGGGCACCTGGGCTTGAACTGGTGTACCTACACTCACTTCAGGTTTAGAACAGCACACATAGAGTGCAGACAAGCAATCCCCAGAAAACATTAACTTATTAGATTTATACTTACTGACAAAGCCTGGACCAAAATTTGGAGGATTAGGCCTAGAAATCTGATGTGTTATACTGCCATCCTAAAATAAGTAAAATTTACAAATATGTTTATTCCACATTTCAGTTAAAGGGGGGAAAAAAACTTTAAAAGAAAGAAAGAAAAAGAAATGGAAGAAAAAACCCTTTAATTTCCTAAGATATCTTTTAAAGTTTTGATTTTTATAAAAAGTAGAATGAATTTAGTGGTGGCAACCTAATTCTGAATTCTTACTACTATCTCTGAACTATTATATTGTCTAGATTTGGGCTGAAAACAATTATACTTGAGGTAAAGGATTATTCATCAGAAACATAATACAGGGCAAATCAATTACTGCTAACACTAAGCTAGAGATCCACATAAAAAAATCTCACTTTTTGATGAAGTTTACCTGGTTTCTTCTTCAATCGAACACAAGTTCCAGATTGACTAAATGCCACTCCACAGCATGGTTATTTATAAAAAAACTAATGTCTCTAACATGCACAAATATAAAAGAAAAATCTGTTAATAAAAATATCAGTCTTATTTTCTACACACGCCTGTAGTCCCAGCTACTTGGGAGGCTGAGGTAGTAGGATCGCTTGAGCCCAGCTGTTTGAGGCCAGCCTGGGCAACACAGCAAGATCCTGTCCCTAAAATATAAAAAAATTAAAAAATTAAAAAGTATTTAATTAGTTTTATTTTTGAGTTAAAAGTCTTATTTCTTCCTGGTGACTGAACAAGCAGTTATTAATCTCACAAGTCCCTGATAATTACCTGACAAATTAATGTTGAAAACTGTTTATCCAGTTGTCACAAGTTCTCCTTAACATGAGCTGTATACAAGGTAATAATTATAAACTATACTAGCAGACAGAATGTATTTTGTGCAATCTTCACAATACTGCAAACAGATTAAAAAACAAGAGGCTAAAGAATTTACCCAAAGTTGCACAGTAAATTCAGAGTGGAACTAGAATTTCTTTAAAAAACTCAGCTATAAAGGCTATGCTTTTCCCATTATATCAAATGGTTTCTGTTTCCTCTTTTAATAATGAGAAGAATATAATTATCAGCATAATAAATCTAAAGCATAACTGGCAGGACAAGGAAGAAAACAGGACATATACTATAGTAGGTAGCTCCCTTTTTAAAAAAAAAAAATCATTGACAAAAATACTACATGAGTTTTACTTCCCCAGATACTGCTTAAGAATATAGCATATCTTTCAACAAGGATGGAAAGAAAAACGGGAAAAAACAAATATAGCATATTGTTTTCTAGTTTTTTGTTGTTGTTGTTGTTTTTGAGACGAAGTCTCACTCTGTCACCCAAGCTGGAGTGCAGTGGCGCAATCTCGGCTCACTGCAATCTCTGCCTCCCCAGTTCAAGCGATTCTCCCGCCTCAGCCTCCCAAGTAGCTGGGACTATAGGTGTGCACCACCACGCCTGGCTAATTTTTGTATTTTTAGTAGAGACAGGGTTTCACTATATTGGTCAGGCTGGTCTCAAACTGCTGACCTCATAATTCGCGTAAGCCACTGGGCCCAGCCGTTTTCCAGTATTTACAGAAGTTTTACATTTTAAATATAATGGGTTTAATTCTAAAATGCAGGACATGAAAATGTCCTTCTGGAGTTAAAAATAAGTAAATAAAAGTAAAACCAAGAGTCCTGAGCACTTGGTTTTCCCATCAAGTGACTTTTTACCCTTAGGTATATAAATCCTTTTCAGAAATCACAGCCAATTTTTTTAACCTTAATTTGTCTTTTGTTTAAAAAGCAATAAAATGTCTTTTTGGTTATTTTTGGCTGTGCTGATAATATGTCTTGGCAGTCTTCTCAGGCTACTATTTAGGTTGGTGCAAAAGTAACTGCGGTTTTTGCCATTGGCAAATAGCGTATGGCGAAAACCGCAATTACTTTTGCACAAACCTAATACTACTCTCTAGCAGGGGCCTTACTATAAAGCATGAGTTTGATAGAAAACAGAAAAGTGTGCATTCTAGAGTGACTCATTATAGGCAGTGTTACCTGAGAAATGGCTTGTGGTCCAAGGTTCTGTCCTTCACTATTCTGAGTTCCAGTTACCGTCTGGCCCATAAAAGGGAACCTGTCAAAACAGGGGACACAAGTATCAAATTATGAGTGTTTAGAAATTATTGTTTATTAAAAACTATATTAGATGCTTAACAGTTTTCTCTTCCAGAGAAGAGTAGTAGCAATTTCTTCTTCATCAAAACACTAAAGCCCTACCTTTCATGTACTGAGCAGATGTGATCCTCACTGTAACTCTATGAGGTGTGTGCTCTTAGCACCCTCATGTTACTTATGATGAAAGTAAGATTCAGACATATTCCGTAACCTTCCCCACAAGGACTAGTAGGACTGCAATAAGAAGCTAGCTAAGCTGACTCTAGAGGTGTTACTCTCTATTATGTGCCTCACTCTACTATAAAATGAATTCTAGCCTTCAGAATAAAAATAAATTGATTCAGTTTTATAACATAAACTCTAAGAAAATGTTTTCTCATTCCAATCTTTATTAAAAACTAATTGGCAGCTTAGCTATTTTATATTCTAAAAAGATATTTCCCAATTTAAGAATTTTCATACATTTCTATATCTAATTTTAGAGCATATCAAAAACTGACCACTGGCCAAGATGAGTCTGCATGGTTAAACCTATTTAGAGAAATGTTACTCATTCTAATTAAAACTATAAAAACTTCACAGAAGCATTACTGCTGACATGAAAATATTTCCCCTGGCATTATCAAAAGCTTTAATATATCAAGATACACATACAGTTTTCAAAATGTATTCCAAATGCTGTATATTACTATTTAAGTACTATTAGGATATAGAATATGTTTTTAGTTTTTTTACTCAGGTTTTTCATTCATCTATCACCCTGCCCTCTGCTACAGGTCTGGTCTAAATGATCTTCTAATCCAAATGCCACACATGGTCTATCATGCTAACTCAACGTATCACACTACTCTAAGGAGGAACTATCACTTCCATTTCTACAAAGCAGTCAGTAGAATGGAAAGCCATCTACCTGACGCATGACTAATGTATCTAACTGGAGGACACACGATGCTGAAAGAGCATCAGATACTGGAAGGTCTCAAATTCTGAGGTCCATATTTAAAACTAAGTGCTGGTCAGGCGCGGTGGCTCCTGCCTGTAATCCCAGCACTTTGGGAGGCCGAGGCAGGTGGATCACCTGAGGTCAGGAGTTCAAGACCAGCCTGGCTAACATGGTGAAACCCCGTCTCTACTAAAAATACAAAAATTAGCTGGGCATGGTGGCACATGCCTGTAATCCCAGCTACTCCAGAGGCTGATGCAGGAGAATCACTTGAAACCTAGAGGTGAAGGCTGCAGTGAGCCAAGATCATGGACTGCACTCTATCCTGGGCAAAAAGAGCAAAACTCCATCTCAAAAACAAAAACAAAAGCAAAAAAAACCTAAGTGCTAAATAAAACTCAGCATTTCCTTCTGTTCTGAATAAACGTAGAAACTACAATATTATTAGCAGTACCACGGCTATCACCAATAGAAGACAGATTATTTTCCTATCAAGTGTTGCAGGTACCTAACAGATTAGTTATATTCCCCATTACTTTTAAATTATGGCTTATTGCTAATTTATTAAGGAGCATATATACTATAAATTTAATCATATTTTAATAACTATATTTCAAGTATAATCATTTCATTTGTAATACTATGTTTTTAATTTTCTGCATATAAAACATTCTGAGAATTTCAAAGGCTTTACTGGAATCCAAAAAGATTCAAGACATAAAACAGTTAGGAACCTCTATGATAGACAAATAGTGTTAATAAGTATTGCTCAATAATGAAAATCATTGGAAACCACTATCACTACTTTGATCTCCAAAATGCTTCTTAACCATGTCCAAAGTATCTCAACAACTGAACAGAACTATACCGTTAAGAATTCAAATTTCTTTGAAGTATATACATCTTAAATTCATGCAAATTTTATATTCAATTCTATAATCATCCACATTTCTTTTTATATAAAAGTTTTTCAACAAGATAATTAGACTAAATTGAGGCTTTATGCTTACTTTATTGACAGAGGTTCTCATTAGTAATACATATAAGCCTCATTCATGAAAGATTGTTAAAAATACAGACACACAGGCAACCATCTCCAGATATTCTTATTTAGTATGTCTGCAGTAGAGCAAAAGAATCTGCACTTAAAAAAAAATTACCACATAATTCTCATGGTGTTCCATGATCAAAATTTAAGAAACAGTGCCCTGTGGTTAATAACCCTTAGAGGGCATAATTTCAAAAATTCAGATATTGAAATAAATCCTATTGTCTTATTTAATGTATAATTTCTATTTTCCTCCTAAGACACAAAAGACAAAAATCTGTAACTCTTAACTTCCAACTGTCCTCTTATCTATTCCTTGTAACTTTATTTTTCTGATTCAAAACCAGTTTGGGAACCTTTTATTTTAGAGCTGAATTTATAGTTGCCTTAATCACTCAGTGTCTTAACTGAAAAAAATCTTAATTAACATGAACAATTGTAAAAGTATTTAAAAGAGCGCAAACTTAAATACCTTGAGGAATCAGGAAATCCAATCTTCCAAATCTTTTTAAGATGTTTTACGTTTACCATCCTTTAGACTAATGCTCTTACACTGGTTCTTACACTAATTTCTTACATTGGCATAGCATTTTATATCTGATCATATCGAGCTGATACCATGACAACTTAAATAGTATTGTTCATTCCTAGAACAAGGGCTTTCAATTTTCTGTATGTGTTTTTTTAAACTAGTAATGATTTCATGAACGTGTCTAGATGCCCAGTAAAAACCATCAGCCCCTCCCCCTCCACCTACCTGCTCATCACCATTGGTGGCATGCCCAGATTGTTTTGTGCCATCACTTTATTTATGCCTTTAAGAGCCACCATTTTGGCTTTCATTATCGGATCTGTAATTGCATCAAAATCTAGAAAAGAAATATAAAGTTACTTATTTCATAGTAATTGGTTCAAGCTAATTCAAATATCACAAGCATTATGTAATTTGCAGGCTCTTAAACTTTTACTATTTAATAATCATTACAGATTTCTGAGATGGCAACCTTATCCTTGGTTTAATCACATCTCAGTAGTTCTTAGTTGAATCATGCTTTAATACCTTAGTCCTGCAGGAATTAAAACAAAAAGTCATATTTAAGGGAGATTATAAGCAACCATCTAAAGCAATGCAATTAATTCCCTTTCATCCAAACTTTTGCAATGCTAATCAGAATGGCTTCTTCAGTAAATATAACATCACAAATAAGAATTTGCAATACTAAGGAATTCTACTAAATTAGTTATCACTCTTAAAAGAAAAATGTACCAATTTCTTAAGGGTATACCCTCACAGTAAGAAGCTACTAAGAAAAAACCTATTTGCATCTAAATGAAAAAAAAAGGAGCAAAATGATGAAATTGGGGATATATAAAATGGAACATCAATTTTATTATTTAGAACAAGACACGTTGCTTAGACATGTGCCCTTTGATTGCTAATTCTTATTCTTAGAGGCACTGAGGCATTTTGACTGCATTGCTTCTGTTGTTTTTAGAATCAGTAAACCATTAGAAACAAGTTAAAGAGGTTTATATAGCAAAAAATTGCCAGGCATTTGTCATACACAAAACGACAGTGAAAAGCTTTCTTTTTTTTTTTTTTGAGACGGAGTCTCGCTCTGTCACCCAGGCTTGAGCGCAGTGGCGGCGATCTCGGCTCACTGCAAGCTCCACCTCCCGGGTTCACGCCATTCTCCTGCCTCAGCCTCCCGAGTAGCTGGGACTACAGGCACCCGCCACCTCGCCCAGCTAGTTTTTTGTATTTTTTTTAGTAGAGACGGGGTTTCACCGTGTTAGCCAGGATGGTCTCAATCTCCTGACCTCGTGATCCGCCCGTCTCGGCCTCCCAAAGTGCTGGGATTACAGGCTTGAGCGACTGCGCCTGGCCAAAAAGCTTTATTTCTATCATAATTTTCTTAAATTCATCCCTCCATGACTGAAAACATATGGCAACAATGGTTGGAATGTAGGAACTAAGGAGACAATTAGTTTCTATTAAACAATTCCATAAATAATAGAATTGAGGCAAGTTTGTAACCCAGTTTTGAATCTCTTAATTTACCTGGAAAGAATCTAAAACTCATTGCTTTCTTTTTTTTTTTTGAGATGGAGTCTTGCTCTGTCGCCCAGGCTGGAGTGCAATGGTGCCATCTTGCCTCACTGCAACTTCCACCTCCCAGGTTCACACCATTCTCCTGCCTATGCCTCCCGAATAGGTGGGACTACAGGCGAGCACTGCTATTCGCAGCTAATTTTTTGGGTTTTTAAAAAAATTATTATACTTTTAAGTTCTGTGATACTTGTGCAGAATGTGCTGGTTTGTTATACAGGTATATACGTGCCATGGTGGTTTGCTGCACCCATCAACCCGTCATCTACATTAGGTATTTCTCCTCATGCTATCCATCCAATAGCCCTCCACCCCCGACAGGCCCCAATGTGTGATGTTCCCCTCCCTGTGTCCATATGTTCTCACTGTTCAATTCCCACTTACAAGTGAGAACATGCAGTGTATGGTTTTTTGTTCCTGTGTTATTTTGCTGAGAATGATGGTTTCCAGCTTCATCCATGTCCCGTGTTGCCCAGGCTGGTCTGGAACTCCTGAGATGAGGCAATCTACCTGCTTTGGCCTCCCAAAGTGCTAGGATTACAGGCATGAGCCACACTGTGCTCAGCCAACTGCTTTCATTTTAAAGCTCAAAGAGGGCCAGGCATGGTAGCTCATACCTGTAATCCCAGCACTTTGGGATGCCAAGACGGGCAGCTCACCTGAGGTCAAGAGTTCGAGACCAGCCTGGCCAACATGGTAAAACCCCGCACCTCTACTAAAAATACAAAAATTAGCCAGGCATGGTGGCACGTGTCTGTAGTCCCAGCTACTTGGGAGGCTGAGGCAGGAGAATCACTTGAACCCAGAAGGTGGAGGTTGCAGTGAGCTGAGATCACCCCACTGCACTCCATCTTGGGTGACACAGTGAGACTCCATCTCAAAACAAAACAAAACAAAAACCCTCAAGGAGGAATAGAAAAACTCAGTGCTCTGTTCCAACTGTAACTCTAATAATAAAATCTTATAAGCATATCGCATGCCACTCTAATACCCACAGTAACATATGCTGAGACTCAAGAAAATTCCTACCAATATTAGGGAAGAATGGTTCTGATCGCTGACGAATCATGGCTTGCATCTGTCTTTGCTGCTGCTGTTCTTGCCTTTCTTGATCCAAAAGATCCTGTAGAAGCAGCGGCTGTTCTTCTAGAAGAAGGGGCCTCTCTCTATTCTGCTGTGCTAATGTTTGAGGAATCATTAGTTGTTGGGGTCCAGACACGCTACTGGTACCAGACTGACTTGTGAGAGACCCAGTTTGAGTTGTAGGTTTTCCTGTCCCCAAATTGTGGTTAACTGTTGACTGACCTGGAATGAATCCTGGATTTACCTGCACACCCTGAGAAAAAACATGGTTTACCCTAGAGACTACTGTTACATTAGAATTCACGGTATTATCCAAAACATGGCCAGGCGGTGCTATTAAAGGAGGCAAACTTGACACATGATTAGATGGTGAGGCCGGCAGAGTTGGTGGTGGAGACCCCAATGGCCTAATGTCTGAATTATCAGATTTTTCATTAGCAAGTAAACTTGAGAGAACTGGAGTTGATCCAGTTATGCCACAAGAGTTTATTACATCTTGAGCAGGTAGTTGAGTGGATCCTTGAATGACATTTGCACTGGAGTCAGCGGTTTCTCGATTCGTTCTTTTCTCAAATAGATCTGGATCACAAGGATGCAAAGAAGTCTTTTCTCCATCATTTAGGTCTGAGTGAGCAGAAGCCTGTGAGCAGGTAGGGTCAACATTATCTTTATTCTCATCACTTTTTTCAGTTTCACATTTGGATTCCACCTTAGAATTTGGAGACAATACTTCCATTTTTACCTCATTGGTAACAGTGGATTTTTTCTGTGGTGAATGTTTATCAGAGAGAACCAGAGTTTTGTCTTCTTGTTCCTTTTTTTTGGGTTCAACAGATGCACACTGATTATCTAACTTATCGTCAATTGGAAGATCTAGCTCCTCATTAAACATGCTTTTCTTATCTCCCAGATCAAGTTCTGGATCTGTATACGCAATGATATCAAACTCTCCTGACCTTAAGAGGTCATCCAGGTTGGGATCATTAGTTTCCAAATTATCTAAAGTATCCAATTCAACTACCTTGCCATCCTCTGTATCTAAATTTAAGTTTTCAAGATCTTCATCATCTAAGTCTTTGACTTCAACCCCCTCAAGGTCTTTAACATCCAGTTCTTTCACAGAAGGGTCATCAGAATCGAGTTTTTCTTCTAGACCATCAGAAGGTTGGGTGGTTATCTGTAAATTATCAGACGTTGTTTCAGATGGTACAGATGTTGACAAAGGAGCTTCTGAAAATTCACCACCTAGTGGATGATTCAGAGTCCTCATGACCACAGAAGATGAATGGACAGAATGACCTTGCTCTTGTTGAGATGGTGGCACTTGTTCCAAATCTGGGTGCACAGGTAGCTGATTAGGTAGACCGTGGGGAGGTCGTCTCATGGGCTCTGTGTGTCTAGGGCCCGGAAAGTCTGGCCGGGGAATGAAGTTTCCATGTCTCAGATTAGAAGACGCCTCTACAGCGCCGCCAGGTGGAGCACTGAAAGGCAGCCGTTGCCTTCCGTCAGGAGCCCTATGTCTCAGTTCAATATATGCTTGGCCCAGTATGTTGTGCTGCTGAACTGGCAGGCTCTGTGGTGAAAAATGCTGAGGAAGTCCAACTGGATTATTCATTTGTGAGTTATTTAAAGGCCTAGGCATATCTACAGATATTGATCTTCTTAGTTGTGGAGAAACTCCAGATCCCTGTATTTGTTGAGGAGGCACAAGGAAGCGCTCTTGACTCGGCATGGTACCATGACTACCTCCTGGAAATCCAAATCTTAAAAAAATAAAAAATAAAAAAAGCAAAAGGTACAATGTTAAATTTAGAGTTAAGTTGAAAAAAAGGGGAAGTTTTCAATTAAATTGTAGATACAAAATTAATGTTGCCAAATACAATGACTTACAAAAGCAAAGCTATCGCCATTAAAAAGTATTTACAGATACTAATATGCAAGTAAGATTTTGCTAAGTATCCTACAACGAACACCATATCTGAGCTCTAAAGGCTTAAGATTTAACAGATAACAAAAATGAAGACAAAGGAACAACCACCAAGCAGATGAAATCAATTGTTTAGAGGTAAGAACAATACTACTCGAGTTTTTCAGGAAGAGTTTCTTTTATCTATATTTAGGGAGGTTCAATGGAGGAAGCTGATTTGGGGAGGATGTTTGAGTTAAGATAGGTCTTCATACCTATTGAGGGACTTACAGGCCTCAGTACGTGAGACTACAAAGGCAGAGGTTTGACGATGGAATAGACTAAACTTATAGTCAGAGAAAAAGACGAGTAGGTCTCATCTATAGAGATTAAGTAAATGAATAAATTGTTGGGCTATTTTATATTGTACTTCCTTCTAGATAGGATTACAGGCAACTTACACAGAATATAAAGCATAGCAAGAGGCATAAATTATAATAAGGTGGAAGAAAAAAGGGAAATTAAGAATAAGATTACAGGCAACTTACACAGAATATAAAATGTAGCAAGAGGCAAAAATTACAACTAAGGTGGAAGAAAAGGAAACTAAAAGAATATAACATGGAGGTAGATATAAGACTAAAAGACATAAAACTAAAAAGCATATCTTAAAGAACTATTTCCTTATTATAACTAGGGCATAGGTTTGGCTTTGACTTTAGCCACTTTGAAAAAGGAAACATTCTTATGATTCATCGCCACTAACTTACAACCCTATCTCACCATGGAAAGTTCCCAAAGGGAAAGTCCTTTCAGTTTAGAAATCTCTAAAATTTATTATTATTATTATTTTAATTGAGACAGAGTCTTGTTCTGTCTCCCAGGCTGGAGTGCAGTGGCATTAACTCGGCTCACTGCAACCTCCACCTCCTGGGTTCAAGCAATCCTTTTGTCTCAGCCTCCCGAATAGCTGGGAACACAGGCGTGGCACATTTTTTATTTTTACTAGAGACAGGGTTTTACCATGTTGGCCAGATTGGTCTCGAACTCCACCTCAAGTGATCCGCCCACCTTGGCCTCCCAAAGTACTGGGATTACAGGCATGAGCCACTGCACCCAGCCTAAAATTAATCTAGAATGTAAACTTAAAAGGTAGAAATTTGGAGAGAGGACAAGTCTCATCAAATCGTAGGAGGCTTTGCCTACACAGAATAGCTACATTTTGAGGATGTCGTATGATAAACTACATCATTAAGGGTGCAAGGTAGTGCTAATACAGTTAATACTTAAAAACAAAGGTAACGTTTTCAGAGTATCTAGAGTTCTTAGAGGGGGAAAAAATGTCTATGACCTCTCATTAGCAGAAAATAACTGATTATATATATATCAGAGGAGAGAAAGAAATAGAAAGCAGTAATAGCTTCCCGATTAATACTAACTTCATTTGTATATATTTTTTTTAAATTTTTAAATTTTAAATTAGTTGAAGAGGTGGGGGGGGGTCTCACTATATTGCCCAGGCTGGTCTCAAACTCCTAGATTCAAGCAATCCTCCTGCCTCAGCCAATAGCTAGGATTACAGGCACAAGCCACCACACTTGGCTCTGTTTCCCTCTTCTAATAGCAATTTAAATTTGGCAGGAAATTAAAAGCATTACCTAAATCCATGAGGTCTCATCCCCATACTAGCAACATCAGGAGGATAGGGTCCACGCTGATCTTTTGGGAAAACAGCATATCTAGGTCCTAAAGGAGGGGCAACAGGAGACCTAATGTTCCCAGGATAAGGAGGTGGGGGTCTGGCGAAAGCCTGGTTAATATTCTCTGGTTGCCAGTGTTGAAGAGGCCCTGGATGAGGCACTGCGGGTGAGTCCTGTGACCCCTTCTCCTGCCGACCTGCAATCTTCTTCTGCTGTTGCTGCTGAAGAATAATTTCACGCAACTTCTGCCGCTAAATGGGAAGAAACAAAAATCACTGGAATTTGTGGTAATTAATGGCTTTTTAAGGGTTATTGGCTTTTTATTTTTAGATAGCCCAGGCTGGCCTCAAATTCCTGGGCTCAAGCAATCCTCCTGTCTCAGCCTCTCAAGTAGCTGGGATTACAGGCATGTGCCACTGTGCCTGGCAGGTTAGTGGCTTTTTAAATCCTGATACTTTCATTATGTGGCTACTGTAATATTTCAAAGTCTGATGAAACACCAGTTACATTTAACTCTTCAATATATTAGGAAAAGTAATTTGATGATTTGGGTACTTTTACTTGCCAGACAACTATCAGAAAACAAAGCTCCAATATTTAAGGATCCGATGTGAATTCATGAAGACTGAAATCAGATACAGAATAAATTAAACTGGTGTTAATCTCATCAATTTCATTTTTCTTTTTTGCAGTATGACAAACTCTACAGAATTAAAAAAATAAGAAATTAACCACTGTGTAGAAATTACTCAGTTTGATGAAATGAACAGCTTCCTCAAATAATACACTTAAAACTGAGAACATACAATGTGTTTACCTGTCTCAATTTTTCTGTATCTGCTTGGGCCATATTCACAGTATTCTGTGTATCAGTTACTCCTGAAGTTGGCACAGGTCCAGGAAGCTGGGAGACACCAGAGAACTGCTGGCCTTGGGAGTGCATTGGAGAGTTTGAAGATGCACAGAAGCTCCCCTCTGACCCAGGCCTTGGCTGATCAGCAACATCATGGGCAGCTTGACTGGTTCCAAAAGAGTCCGACTGAGATCTTGGAGTCACCGGAGGCTGATCATAGGGATCACGGGCAGCAGATGGGGAAACACGGCTAAATGTGTCTGAAAGGCCAGGTCCAGGGGGCCTAGGTGTCTGGGAACATGTATCGGGTGGCCTTACTAACGGGCCAGGTAAAGCTGGTCCTCGGTTTTGTGCTGCTTGCAGGAAAGGATCCTGATTTGGCATGAGGACTGGTCTTGTCATTGAGGACCTAGTAAAACCCTCTGAAATCCTTGGCCTTGGTGTTGCTGGTGGCTGAGAGTAAGGGACAGATATTCCAGGTCTTGGTGTTCCGGGAGGATGAGCATATGGATCAGAATGCCTCTGATTAGTTACAGATGTAACAAACAAGTCCGTCTGTGTAGATGGTCTTGGGGTTGGGGGCTGCTGACTATATGGGTCAACAGTAGCAGGCCGGGGAGTTCCAGGAGGTTGAGAGTAAGGGTCTGTATTAGACCTAGCTGTTCCTGAAGATTGGGAATAAGAATCTACAACAGGTCGTGGAGTTCCTGGGGGCTGGGAGTATGGGTCCTGAGATGTTGGCCTTGATATGGTTCCAGGCTGGGAAAAAGCCCTTGAAGGATGGGCAAAAGATTCATTCATTGTTGGATGTGGGGTTAGGGGAGGCTGACTATATGGATCATTTGACTGACTATGAGAAAAATTATCTATAGGTCTTGGTGTCAAAGCAGGCCTTTCATAAGGGTCAATAGACAATCGCCTTGATGCCTGTGACACTGATCCATAAGGATCCTGAGAGGATGGAGGAGGTTGCATTGGAGTCTTAAAAGGTCCAGGACCACTATCAAGAGGTGCAGGTGTCAACAAGGGTCGTGCATATGGGTCAGGTATCCGTTGTCTTTGAAACACATCTGCCCTAGGAGATGGTTTAGTAAAGTGATCATTGGTTCCAGCTGCTACAGGGCCTTTTGCAGTTTGTTCTGAAACTATAGGAGACCGGGAGAGGCCCAAGGATTTGGGAAATTGATCTGTCATCACAGGCCTAGGTGTGTCTGGAGGTTTTGCATAGGGGTCATTATTTGTCATGGAGGAAGAACATAAATCTCTGACTGGGGATGGCCTATTTGCTGTTGTCTCATTCATTTGAAGGGGCCTAGATACCGATGATAAAGGTGTACAGTTTTCCACTGGTGCAGCAGAATTTCTTCTGGAAAAACTATGGCCCACAGGAGGTGGTCGAGGGGTACCAACCATTTTTGCATACGGATCCATTGGAGATGGTGGTCGTGAGTTGGAGGACCCAGGTGAAAACACTTGTGGTGAAGGTGGCTGAGAAGTCTGAGCCTGAGAAAGACCCTCCTGAATGGGAATCCGGGATGGGGCTGGAGGAGGAGGTGGAGCTTGTGGTTTTACAAACACATCATCTGATGTAGATGTAGGGGTACTGGGTGGCTGTTTTGTAAACAGTTCTTTATGGAATGACTGTGCAGGAGACATATTTCCATTGCCAGGCTGAGGTGTCAAGGGACTCTGTATCCCACTACTTGGTGTATCTGAACCAGACTGCACCAGAAGATGCTGAGAACCAAACTGCTGTTGTTGCTGCTGCTGCTGCTCATTTTTCACCTGTTCAAGTTTCTGTGTGGCTTCAATTTTAGCTTGCTGCTTACTTTTCTGACGCATTTGCTATTAAAATAGAAAGAAAAAGCAATCACATTTAGGTTAAGGAAGAAAACTACCATCATGGGGGGAAAAAGCAACAGAAAGTTAATTTGTTTGATGTCAGCAGCTACCAGATTGCTCCCATATTAGATTATGAATTCCTGAAGAAGAGAAATTACTCATCATGGCATGTTCCATTTGTGCCTAGGGCAGTATATTGTTTATAATATTTCAATAAACTTCCCAAATCAATTTAAATATATTTTACTGAAAAGAGAAATAAGTCTATCCTTAATCAAATTTTCATGGTCTAAGAACTATATTCTAAAATAATAATGCAAAGACCTCCCTCTCAAAACATAAAAATGCAACTTCAAAAAGTAGATTATCCAAAAATTCCATACCTGTCTAAATTTCCATTCCTGTTCATGTTCTGATTCTCTTTGCTTTAATGGATCTTTAAAAAGCTCTGAATCAATACGAGAGCTGGGATCGATGCTATCTTGCTGTTGCTGCCTTTTCATGGAATCATTTGACATCTGTACTTTATTAATGCGTAAAGCAGCTCTGTTATCTCTGGCTTTTTGCTTTGACAAAAGAAGACAAAAAATATTCACCAGATTATGTTAAACATTTTAAGGAATAAAATAAAACTATCATGAACTTTCTCAAATAAAAGAAAAAAAGTCAGGTAAAATGCTGAAATACTTACGGCACCTCCCAAAAAAGGATCTGGACACTAACTCGTCTTCTCTCTTTACAGTGCACGGTATCTATCAGTTGAGGATATAATCCTCTCTATGTATTTGAATTAAGCTTAAAGATCCCAGGTGTGATTTATTATTTTAGCTCCTAGTTTTCTTAATACATCCTTAGAAATCACGTCTCCTTCAATTTAGAAAGAAGGGGCTGGGGACAGGCATGGTGGCTCATGCTCTAAATCCCAGCACTTTGGGACGCCAAGGCAGGTGGAGCGCCTGAGGCCAGGTGTTCAAGACCAGCCTGACCAACATGGTGAAACCCCCACCTCCACTAAAAATACAAAACTAGGCCGGGCGCAGTGGATCACGCCTGTAATATCAGTACTTTGGTAGGCTGGGGCGGGCGGATCACCTGAGGTCTGAGGTCAGGAGTTCAAGACCAGCCTGAACAATATGGAGACACCCTGTCTCTACTAAAAATACAAAATTAGCCAGGTATGGTGGCACATGCCTGTAATCCCAGCTACTCGGGAGGTTGAGGCAGGAGAATCACTTGAACCCGGGAGGCGGAGGTTGTGGTGAGCCAAGATCGCATGGTTGCACTCTAGCCTGGGCAACAAGAGCAAAACTCTGTCTCAAAAAAAAAAAAAAAAATCAGCCGGGCATAGTGGCACATGCCTGTAATCCCAGCTTCTTGGGAGGCTGAGGCAGGAGAATCGCTTGAATCTGGAAGGCAGAGGTTGCAGTGAGCCGAGATCGCACCATTGCACTCCAGCCTGGGCAACAACAGTGAAGCTCCATCTCAAAAAAAAAAAAATTTTTAGAAAAAAAGAAAATATCCAATCAGTCTTTAAAAAAGAAAAAAAAAAAAATCTGGATATTTGAAACGTATCGTTAATGAAATCACTTAAAAATTTAAAAAATTCTGTCATTACCTAATTAAAGTCAAGATAAAACAGAGCATATCAATACATCTATATATATATATGTGATAAAGCATATACACACATATATGCTCTATTCAAAATAATCACTGTAACTGAAAATATGCGCACTGGGGAACAAGCTGGAAAACAACTATATATATTTTCCAACAATAATACACATTTAATATGCTTTAAAATGAAAGCAAGGACTTGGTTCCAGCTGACAATCTTAATTTGGCTCTTTGGGAGAAAATAATTTACCATATGAACTGCGAATCTTATAAAATTACCTAATAGTTCATGGCAAAGATCATGTGTCAAAAACTCTTTAAAGATGTCTAAATATTTCTCTTTGAAGATGCACAGATTCGCTATGAAACCTAACAAGAAAAGAGGTGACTGTGGAAGACACTGAGGCATGCCTCTCTCCAAATTGAGTACAGCTGTCCCTCTGTATCCATGGACTATTGGTTCCAGGATTCCCTGCAGATACCAAAATCCACAGATGCTCAAGCCCCTTATAGAAAATGTCATAGTATTTGCATATAACCTACACATATCCTCCTGTATACTTTCTCCTTTTTTATTTTTTGACATAGCAGGGTCTTGTTCTGTCACCTAGGCTGGAATGCAGTGGCGCAATTTTGGCTCACTGAAGCCTCAACCCCTCAAATCTCTCAAGTAGCTGAGACTACACAGGCATGCGCCATCATACCCAGCTAATTTTTTCATTTTTTTATAGAGATGAGGTCTTGGCTATGTTGCCCAGGCGGGTCTTAAACTACTGGGCTCAAGCCATCTGCCCACCTTGGCCTCTCAAAGTGCTGGAACTACAGGTGTGGGCCACTGTGCCTGGCCCCTCCTGTATACTTTAAGTCATCTTTAGATTACTTGCAATACTTAACACAATATAAATGTTATGTAAATCGTTGTTATACTATATTGTTTAAAAAACAATGACAAGGAAAAGAGTCTGTACAACTTCAGTATAGACGTTTTTCTAAAATATTTATCTATGGTTGGTTGAATCCACATATATAGAACTCATGGCTACAGACTGCCAACGGTACCTCGACTGAAGAGATAAAACAATTTTGAAGTGAAATGAATTCATCCTGCCCCCTATAATAGCTGATTTTCAATCTTCAACATTTTGGTTCTGTTAACTTGCTTATAAAAATGTCACACTCTCTATTAAGACATAAGGAGTTAGAAAATCACTGTAAAAATAAAGTTGCTTGTTGTACAGGTACTAAAAAGCATTTTCTGAAATGGAAATTTGTTTTTTTATTAACCTAATACAAATAAGGTTCAAGCATTGTATTTAAATATTTAAAAGATAGGAGTTTCTTAAAATACCACATATGGTGCTCTTTCCTGTGAGCTTGCTTTTCTCCACAATTTGGCAATTTGCTTCACTCTAGTAGTCCAATCTGCAACAAAAGAACAGAGTATAACTGTTTCTCAAGAGTCATGCTAATGACATGCTGTAATAAAAAATGTTGATGAACTGCTGACAGTTAATCTTATTCAGGCCGTATTCTCATGAGGTAGTAGACCTACATTAAGTTCTTTACAAAGAACAAAGATGCTGGCATACTGTAGGCCAAACAAATGTTTTCTAAATGAAGTGTTGCCTCATTAACAACCTAGCTTGTAAAGTTGGGAAGTTTTTTTTTAGATTCAAGGGACAAAGTAGCAAAAATGTAAGCCAAACACAATAAATTCCCTCTGGTGGTAAGATACCACCAGAAACAAAATGTAAGTTTGTAAAACATCTGCGCTAAACAGAAGTCTATCAATTTGACCTACCAGAAGTAAACAAAGTCATTAATAAGCATCTCACTAGCATTTGCGGACAAACATATGGAAAAGTAATCAGTTCAAACCATTTCTATGAAATTCAGTGTCATGATGGTATACAAAATGAAGATGCTTGGCTACGATCAACAGTTAACGATAAGATAAATATAGAAATTATTTATTCCACATTACAAAAAGAAAGCAAGCTTCCAAAAAGCCAATGAAAATGAAAAATCAGTTCATAGACCAACAGCTTTAACACAGTATTTCATGAGGTTCTTGAATCACAAGTAAAATTATTAAAGAAAAACACTTTTAAAAAAGTTATAGCTCTGCTGTAAGGACAATTTGTGCTGACACAAAATGACAACATACCCATATATGTTCATAAACAGCAAATTTAAGCATGGAAAGAAAGTGGCTGAAGAATGGGACACTGCCTTCACAGGTCTCCCTGCATCAAACCATTGATTTCTATTGTTGGATAAAAAGCATTTCATTTATTACAACACATAAGGAATAAAGTACCATGAAGACGCCAATCCAAAAAGGTACCTAAAAACCAGGGGTCATCCAAATGAAAAGTCACTTCCAGGTACCCCTCTAGTAATTTAAGAGTTTGTGTACTGATAGATAGCTGGGAAACAATTGCAAAACTGAGTCTGAATAACTTTTTCAATCCTGGTTTGTCTGACACCATGAACTCAAAATAATAAAACTGCATTGCTTGCATATATTCAATAATTTACATCTCATTAATCCAAATGTCTCATTCACTGGTTAATCAGAATTTTCACAAACTGTACTATTATTTTATCATCTGCTTTTTTCAAGAGGCAGTGGTAATAGCTGGACAGTCAGGGAAGGTGAGGGGAGAAGAAGGGAAGACAATATTGAATTCGTTTCCTATAAACACTACTTAGAATTCACTGATTTAGCCTAGCAATATTTTTGATTAAATGATAGTTTGGGTTTTAGAAATTTTTGAAGAATCACATAACACTGATTTCCACATATTAATAAGCACTGCTAGGAGCTGAAAAACTGACCATTTCATTAATTGAAACTAACTTTTGGGAAATATGAGAATGGATGCACGGTCTAGGACAAAGTAAACATGCTAGATGTTTCTAGATATCTAGGGAATCTTCATATTGTGGGTCATCATAGATGAAAATTAGTTAAGCTACCTCTCTATTGCAGGTAAAAAAAAAGTTATTGCACATGTGACAAGTTGGTAAAATAGAGAGAAATAATATATTCATGACTTACCAGGGAATTCTTCCTTTAAGTTGGGGAAATTAATATTGGTGTACAGAACCGGTGCAACTGTGGCCATTTCACCCAGAGCCTCCTCTTTCTCCCACTTAAGCGTGCTTCTCTGAGCATTCGACAGTGTGTCATTTTCTCCTTCCACAGTGGGAGCTGATGATGTCCAAGAGTTGTTAGGATCACTTGCCATTGGATTAAAGGCTGAATTTTTATCCCTGGGAAAAAATAAATATCTTCACTTTATAAACATAAAATAACTTTTTAATATATGTCCAAGTACAGCTTTCATTAAAACCTATTACAAAATAGTTAAAAGTAACATGTTTATAGCAAAAGCCATAATAAATGCAACTTACAATAATATCATACACAATCATTTAAGCAGACTAATTTATATATAAAGCAAACAGAAATTAGTGCAATTTAAGTTTCCATAGAAAATAAGGCTTGTACCTGGCATCAGGATAAGGGGATTGTGCAATTGCAGAGAAAGTTCCCAGTCCGCTTCCAGGTGGCAAAGAATTATGTGGGAGATGAGGACTGGGTCCAATAAGGCCATTCATGAGTGGCATCCGTGAAAAAACATCTTAACAGAAAAAAAAATTCCGTTTGCATAATATTCATAAATAACAAGGAGCTGATGTAAAGTTGACCCTTGAACAACATGGTTTTTAATTGCATGGGTCCACATAAACACAAACTTTTTTCAAACTGAATGCGGATGGAAAACACAGTGAAACCCATGCATAGAGAGGACCAACTTTTCTTGTATGCCAGGTTCCACAGGGCCAACATTTGACTTCTGTATTCTCAGATTTTGGTTATACCTGGGGGTCCTGGAACCAAACCCCCAAGTATAGAAGAGATGCTTGTACTTCTAAATCAAAATCTTTAATGCAATTTAAAAGTAGGATTTTTTTCAGTATTATATAATACTTAAAGAGTCACTTTTGGCTACAAGATTTTGAAATACGATCTCTACAGCTGTGATCCTCTATTTCATTATTGTGTACTAGAAATAGCAAGTGTCCTGGAGTCCAAAAGCCTGGGGTGTGAACCTCAATTTTACCTGTTAGAAGCAGAATCAATTTCTATTTCTGTAAACTACAGGTATTCTGTTATTTGGGTTAATTGAGATAATGTATGTACAGCTCTGAACATAGTTCCTGGTATGGAGTAACTATTTGATACATATTAACTCCTAAAAAATGAATGAATCACAGCAAATGCTAGTAAGTTTTATCAAATATTCTTTCTCTTCATTAAAAATTTACAAACAGATATTTCTTATATTTTATTCCTGTTCCTCTTAATACAAAAAACCATCTATGATTCTTTTATTCTTTTTTTTTTTTTTTTTTGAGATGGAGTCTCACTCAGTCACCCAGGCTGGAGTGCAGTGGTAAGATCTCAGCTCACTGCCACCTCCGCCTCCCAGGTTCAAGCAATTCTGCCTCAGCCTCCTGAGTAGTTGGAATCACAGGCACCTGCCACCATGCCCAGCTAATTTTTGTATTTTTAGTGGAGGTGCAGTTTCACCATTTTGGCCAAGCTGATCTCCAACTCCTGCCTCAAGTGATCCATCCGCCTCAGCCTTCCAAAGTGCTGGGATTACAGGTGTGAGCCACTGTGTCCACCCCATCTGTGATTCTTAAACTGATACTTTCTCTAAATAGTTTTGAGTAAGCAATATATCTATCACTATCAATCAGATGATTATTGCTAAAAATATATACACTCCGGTTTTGGCTTAATTTTTATAACTTACAGTTCAGCCCCCAAATGTATTTGAATTCTCATTCGAGCTTATTCACAAACATCAAATACCTTATCGTTTTCTTTCTAAATAAACATTAGGCAAATAAGAAGACCATCTCATGTTTCTTTACAACACTACTTTAAGCATGTAACTTCAATCCTTATTGTGAAAGTCTACTTGTCTAAACTATTTGGAAATATGCCAACTGTCCATATTGGAGCAGTTTCCAGAAAAAAGAAAGAACAACAACAAAAACTTTGTGTGCCTTCAAAAAGCCCTCCAATTAAACTTGATGATTTGTGGAAATACACAAAGCCTCTATTAATTGTTGCAACACTTAGAGCTATACTATTACAGGAGATCCACATCACCAATTAATTACACAAATGGCAATACGGAGTTGACTAATACTTGGTATAACTAGAGAATTCCTAACCTGATCACCTGATTTTTTATCTAATGTCACTCCATGAGATTAAAAGTCTCATAAATGTACATTGTCCAATGCGTAATGGTCTTTCACCTAAACCACATCATGTGAATGTTACAACACTAAAGCCTACATAGCTCCAGTGTGTATGTGCAGATACTAAGGACGATCACCGACAAGTTTAAAAGATTTTGTCTCAAAGACTTCCTAGAACTCTCTGACTTCCACAAAGGGGCTTATGTTACTAAATACCACAGCTGGGTCCACTGGATCAGGTTTTCACAATGACAAATGTCTCATGACACTTACATTTACTCCAAGGATTAAAGGGCAAGATTTCTGCTTTTTTTCAAACTAGAATACTACATCTATTTTCAACTTCAGTGAAAAGCAGGTTCCATTAAAGCAGGGGTCCCCAACTCTGGGGCCATAGACTGGTACCAGTCCATAGCCTGTTAGGAACCCGGCCACACAGTAGGTGAACAGTGGGCAAGTGACCATTACGGCCTGAGTTCCACATCCTGTCAGATCAGCAGCAGCATTAGATTCTCATAGGAGCATGAACCCGATCAGTGGCAGCGTTAGATTCTCATAGGGGCGTGAACCCTGTTGTGAAGTGTGCATGCGAGCGTGTTCCTATGAGAATCTAATGCCTCATGATCTGAGGTGGAACAGTTGCATCGCAAATCCATTCCCCAACCCACCAACCTGGGTTTGTGAAAAAACTGTCTTCCTTGAAACTGGTCCCTGGTGCCAAAAAGGCTGGGGACCGCTGCATTAAGGAATGTGGAATTTTAATAAACAATATCGAATGTCTTTCATGTAATTAGGAGAAACAAGAGTTTATTGGCAAGGAGAATGTGATCCATACTGTAGCCATCTATCAGTGCCATCTACTGTAACTACAATATTACCATGTTGAAACTTTCCCAATAATATTAGCTATTATTTGTTAAGTACTTTATGCTATGCTAAGCAGTCTTAAAAGCTTTACAGCTTCACGAAAACCCATTGAAATAGGTTATTATGTTCAGCTCCATTTAAGCAAAGAGGACCCACAGAAATTAAATAATTTGTTCAAGGACAAACAAGTAAAAGCAAAGTATTCCATCTTATTTTATTCAAGAAGTGGTCTCTTTTTTTTTTCCACCATATCTACCCAAACTAGTCATATTAGTTTATAAAAGTTCAAAAGCTACTTCACAACTTTTACATAAAGGGACTTCAAGTTACTCTACCTCAATCTTGAAAATTCTATTCTCTACTTTCTGAACTTTATTACCATCAGATAATAAAGCATATTACATATTACATAATAACATATTACACTTTGCCTCCCCTTTCTCATCAATTCTACTGAAGTTACTCCACTGAAGATTACCAACAACCTTCCCATGGTCCAATGAAACAACGTTTTTCAAGTACTCACCTTACTTAACTGTACAACCTGTCTCTAATGATCATTCATTTCCAAGATCCTATACCTCTCACTCAATGTCTCAAATCTCTCACTACTTTTTTTACTTTCACCTAAACTTTAAAAGGAAGAACGATAAGAAACATGTAATGTGCACACCTAATATGAATCAGATGAGTTAAGCATATACTTAATTACATTTAATTAAAAAGCACTGCTCGAGATTCTATACTCTACTGGCAGTATATTCTCTTAATAAATCTCATCCTTCCCACATCTGCAATTAGCATAATTACACAGATAATTCCTACATTTTCATCCATCTCCTTGACTAACTGCAACTGCCTGTAAGTCAGAACAGTGTATATGTCCCATTTCTACCAACCTAAAAGAGGTCTAAAACTAAATTCACTAGACCTCCACTACCTTCTACCAGCACACACACTAAGTCTTTGTTCCATCTTTCATGATTATCCTCTGGGCCCCTGGTTTATACATAGTCTAATTCACTTTAATTTCCCCCTTTCCTCACACCTTATATCCATTCAGTAGCACAGTCCTACTTGTTCTAATGTCATTTTCTCTTGTATCTAATTCCTTCCTTTCAATCAGCACCGAAGTATCTTTACCTGGAACCTACTTTTTAACTTAGTCTCAACCACAATAACCTCATTAGTACTCTTCTTGTCCCAAATTTATTCCCAATATTGATACCAGAGCTACCTTAGCAAAACATGTAAGTGATCAGATCACACCACTGGTGTGAGGTCTTCAAAGGCTCTTAGAAGCCTGTAGGGAAAGGGCCAGCTGCCTCTGCCTATTTCTCATAGCCCTTTACAATCAGCACCAATGTCCACTTCTAGTTTTGCTTCCTTAAACAATGCCCACTCCCTTTGCTCTGGAGAATGTTAAAGTTGCCATATTGAATAACTATGTGTCACCCTATATGTAACTTGATCATGCTTTGCCCTTACATTAGAACTACTATTCTTTCAAACAAGAACAATGAAATCTTAGTGATTCATAAGGCTGTACTATTCTGTACTATACTACACATTAGTTGTATACCTGAAAGTCTACATTATTAGCATTACAAACTCCTAATGGTAAGCAGCCTTATTCACCTTGTATCACACATTAACACCTTGCAAAAAAAAAAAAAAGAAAGAAAAAGAAGTCATCCTCTCAAGACCTTTTAAAAATGAGACTGCACAATGAAGTGATTTTCATAATGACTATAAGATGTTTTTAATAAAGAAATACATCTCTGATTTTTAAAATATGCACTTTCAGTTCAGAAAACATAAAGACAGGTCATTTTTATAAGTTGAAAAGAGAAATACTGAATAGTTCTTAATCATTAAAAAAGCATATGGGGGCAAGGCATGGTGGCTCACGCCTGTAATCTCAGCACTTTGGGAGGCCTAAGAGGATGGATCACAAGGTCAGGAGTTTAAGACCAGCCTGACCAAGATGGTGAAATCCTATCGCTACTAAAAATAAAAACAATTAGCTGGGCATGGTGGCAGGCACCTGTAATCCCAGCTACTAGGGAGGCTGAGGCAGGAGAATCACTTGAACTTGGAGGGCAGAGGTTGCAGTAAGCCGAGATCGCACCACTGCACTCCCGCCTGGGTGATAGAGTGAGACTCCATCTCAGAAGAAAAAAAAAAAAAGCATATGGGAACAATTAAGGCAAGAAGTAGTTATGATGAGTATAATACCCACATGTAAATCACATGTTGAACCTAGCAAAATTCAAGGTAAATTTATGTTTAGAGGCTAAACTGGTAAAAACTCAAATATTTCCATTATGTGCATTATGTAATTTTTCATGTATATACAAAGTTGTTAGTAAAGGTTACAAATTATTCACACACTTTAGCACTTATACAGGAAAAGGATAAGATTCATGTTATTCAATTCAGGATATAGTCATGAGGTAGTGACAACAGGATACAGAGAAATGTTCCTATGCTCAAATCATCAAAAATATATACTAGCTGGGCACAGAGGTCCACGCCTGTAATCCCAGCACTTAGGGAGGCCGAGGTGGGAGGATCACTGGAACCCAGGAGTTCTAGACTGGTCCGGGCAACAAAGTGAGACCCCTATCTCTGCAAAAAATCAAAAAATTAGCCAGGCATGGTGGTGTGTGCCTGTGGTCACAGTTACATGGGAGGTTGAGGACAGGAGGATTGCTTGAGCCCAGGAGATCGTGGCTGCCGTGGATTGCGTTCATACCACTGCCTGTCAGCCTGGGTGACAGAGAGAGACCCTGTCTCAAAACAAAACAAAACTACATATAGAGTTATATACACGCCACCATGCAACTCCATTAACTCCTTCCTATAGGAGATTCCCATACCTGTAACCAATTTCCCTATCTACTCATACAGACCTTAATCCTAGGCTATCAAATTTCAGCTCTACAGAAAACGGGAGAAATTAGTAGCTAGTTATAAGTAGGCAGAAGAGAAATGAACAAAATAGGCAAACGTCCACAAAATTTCAGTGTCTACATGGATAGAAAGGCCACTGATTTATTATGAAAGTATGTACTGAACACATACTCTGTGGCAGGGCATATAAGCAAGACATGTATGACCCTAGCCTTTAAAGAGCTTACAATCCAAAGGGAAGACCTTAATTACCCAAACAGGTATTATATTTGTGACATGTGCTACAAATGAAAAACATGGGGTAGGGTGGTAACCAGCTAACCTCTGAGAGATGACAGTGAAACTGAGAGCAGATCAATGAGTACAGGCAGCTAGGTGAGTGGGGACAGTTCCACACATATGGAAGTGCCTATGTGGGAAATGACTGGAGTGGAGTGAGCTGGGAATGGGACTTGCAGGGAGGGAAGGGGGCAGGCACCGTTACATCCTCCCTACTGCCAATGAATGAGCAAAAGAATTCTGGACATAAGGATAATGACAGAATTACAGAGAATTTCAGGGAGACAGCTATGTGACTGAAGTTAGTATTTTTCTATCATCACAAAAGGGTTTTTCTCCCTATCAGTTTGTATATGTGGCTACTAAAGAACAGGGCAAAACTTGCTTGTGTGTGTATATATACCCACATATATACACACGTGTGTGGATATATACCTACATATATACACACGTGTGTGGATATAATATACAATTATAAAGTCATAACATACCCTGATTGTGTATTGGCAACAGCTGTGTTGGTGGGGGAGGCTGTGGCAATGGAGTTGGCTGAGTGTTCGCAGGACTAAGTACAGCTGTAAATAAGTCTTCAACATCTTTTCCGCCAAGCTCTAGGAGATAAAACAGTAATAGTAACAAGATTAAAAGACTAGTAGGGTCATGGTATGGGGAATGCCATTTTCGTAAACTAAAAAATCAAAACACATTTACCTGGAATTTTATATAATTTTCCAAGAATTGCTCCTAGAATAAATTTAAAAAAAAAATAGAAACATTAACAGCTAATTCAATATACTGATACAAAATAGCATTTAACTGACACAGAAATAATTAGAAGTTAAATTATAACCATGCAAAAGTCTTTAAAAATCATATTTACTCAGGTCTTTTAGAAAGCCTAGATGTAGGGCAAATATTTTACCATCTGTGACCATTTTGTCTAGTTCGGGACTGAGGATCCCATCTAGCTGTTCTTCACTTAATGGTCGTGAACTCTGATTGACACTTGGCTGAGGCAAAGAAGGATCATCAGGGACAGGACCAATATCTAAAAGAGTAAGGAAAATAAATTTAAAGGTACATTCAGAATACTCACACAAAAATGTATAGCACTATTTACCTGTACTTAATATACAACAATATGATTAAAACAAAGAAACAGAGTCTGTAATTCTGAATTAGAATTCTCATATCAATTTGGAGAGTCACTCAGTAAAAATTAGGCACAATATATTTGTATTAGGTGCCATGTAAAGTTCTATCTTAAGTAAAAACATTTCCTGAGGAACAAAAGAATACATCTGATTTTAACTTGCCAACTTCTGCCAAAAAAAAAAAAGAAAGAAAAAAAAAAGCTTCATTAAGATAGGAGTTTGTAAGAAATCTATATACAAATAATTGCTTTAATTTGGAAAACAGTGGTATCAAATGTACAGTTCAATTATGCACAGTATGTAAAAAGGAATACGTTTCGTATAAATAAATGAAAAGTCCTAAAATTCTCAGTGTTTAATATTGTCCTTTGTAAATAACTTCAATCATAGGTAATATTTTTAAAATATTCTGTAGGCACATTCTGATTATGTACATTACATTTACAAAACTATAACATGCTGTAGCTCACATTGTTGAGAGTCACATGTAAAAATGGTTTATCGTCTACATTTTTTTCATGCTTTCTCAATATTATTACTATTAAAAAGTAAAAATTTAGTCTGTTCTTATTTGATCTTATATTAGGAACTAGCTCTACAACATTTAGGTAATACTATAAATCACATATTAACAAAAAATTATTCATTAAAAGAAAAACTATTGACAAAGTCACCCAAAGTACAGTACAGCTATGCTTTAGCCACACACAAAAAGGGAAAAGCAAAGTATGGATTAGTGACACATTAGCACTACTGATAAACAGCATGCACCTACAGGTTGTTTCAGCTGAAATCACTATAAAAAAAGAAGACTACTTCTAGTCAGCCGTCATCCATTGCTCAGTTTCTTACCAAATGGAAAAGGTGAGCTCTCAACCTGGAAAGTGCATAAATCAAGACCTATAAGACCCAAACCAAATAAAATGGATGATTACCACAGGAGCGGGAAGTGAGGGAAAATGCAAACAAAAGAAGAAACAAGATACAGCAAGACTTTAAGGCAACGTGCCTTAAATGTGATGCAATTAGAAAGACAACAGAAATTAACTTGCTATATCCCCTCCTAAAGCAGGAAAGCTGAGGTAGATCAAATAAAATGCTGAGTTCTTTAACAAAGCCAAAAACAAAAACAAAGTTACTGGGAAACACACAAAAGGCTAAACTTGTTCCACACACCATACACCTCTCACTCACATCAGAAACCAGAGAAAGGGCAAACAGCATTCATATATACCTGAATGATCAACTGATTTTGCTAGATCATCTGAAATTATTCCAAGAATGTCATCATCTGTGTTTAAAACTTCAGAAATATCAGCTAATGGGTCATCAGCAGGACCTAAATATAGTAAATATGTTTTTTAAAATTTCAGTATTTTCTCAGATATTAAGCCATTTGCTAAAAACCTAGAGTACAGCAGATACTGAGGCAAGTGCTAGAATAAAAACCTGAGACTCTTAATTTTACGGTAAAAGTTTTTCATAGCAAAGGAAACAACGTTTTGAATTACAAAACTTTACTAAAAATTCAGACTATTTTGTCTTGTGACTAATGTATATTGAGACAAAATTTCAAGACCTGTAGGCAATAAAAGTGAAACAGAGTAAGAAACAAAGCAACTTGCTTTGCTGTAAGAAACAAAGCAAAAAAAAAAAACATTTTGCTTAAGAAAGTGGCATGTCTAAAAGTGACATTGAGAAATTAAAACACAGTAGGAAAAGTTAAAATACGAAAGACAAATCTCTCACTCTTTAGAAATTCCACAGGGAGTGCAAGCCAGGTACCATCTAGTTAGTACTTCCAGCTTTGCTGTTCATAATGATTACTCATTCACTCATTTATTTCAAAAAGTATTTCACTACCCACAGAACTGTGTCTATGGATCACATATGAGGCACTGCCCACTGGGCAATGACTGAAACAAAGTGCACGCCCTCAGAGGGCTTACTTTCTCGGAGGGAGTTAGTAAATAAATGACATCGCTATAAGTGCTATTTAAAGAAAAAACAAGGAAAAAGGATTAAAAATAAGCCGTGGGGATGTTGCATTAGACAGAGTGATCTGTGAAGACCTTTAGATGACTGAGCAGAAAACTAAATGAGGGAGTAAGTTATATGCACAAAGATGGAGATAACCCTCCAAACTAAGGCAAAGCAGACATAAAGCCCCTGGGGCAAGCCGGGTTTGCCAACAAGAGAGGCCAGAGCGGTAACAGAAAAACTGTGGTAGGGATAGAAGAGGCAGCTAGGGCAAGACTGTGTAAGATCTTAGAGATCATGGGGAAGACTGGGTTTTATTCTGAAGTGTAATGAGAAGGTGTTGGGAGGTTGAAAGATAGGAGATGACTAATATTTTAAAGGGAACATACTGGCTGCTCCATGTAGAGCAGATGAGGGGTGGGAATTGGGGAGGGCTGGCAAGATCAGAAAAGGGCACTGGTGCAGTCTGAGAGGTGAGGTGATGACAGCACTAGGGTTCTAAGGAAAGCTGAGACAAGTGGTTGGCTTTGGGATGTATTTTGAAGGCAGAGACAAACACGTGGATGAATAAAAGGGAAAGAAAAGTCAAGGAGGATTCTAAGGGTTTGGCGCTTAACCAAGAAACTATTGCAACTCTTGTTTAGGCTTGCTTTAATAATTATATTAGTCATTCAGTAAAGAGAAACTGAAATTTTTAACCCATCTCAAGTTTATTTTTACTTAAAAGGGGGAGGAGGGCATAAATGTAATATTCCAGGTCAAATATTTCTGTCAAACAGTCATGGTTCCATTATATAGTTTCCAAAATGTAATTCATACATAATATATCACATTAAGTTTTGTGTGCCCAAATATCCAGGAACTTTTTAGAGAAAATTATTTCAATAATGCATTTTCTAGATAACACTGCGGTTGAAAGAAAAAAATTCTGGGTAATTTTTTTAGGGGTCATATAGCAGTTTTTTGTTTTAAAGTAATGGAACGCTACTATACAAATTATAACTAATTTTTTAAAGACTGTTTTACAAGTTTGCTCCTACCTAAAGGATTTTATATCTTAATAAATCATTAAAATTGATATAACAGGCTATAATGAGTGACATGTTTTAAAAAAGGCTTTAGTCATTAATTTTCCATTATAAAGTGAAAAGAGTGGTTCAACTGCAAAGAACAATTAACCTAGGTTTTGAAATGGGTGTATTTTTCTGTCCTCCAAGTTTTGGCCTTATTGTAAAACTGTTCTCTCTTCAGTAGTTTTGTGGAAAAAAATAATCAAATTAAGAAAAAAATAACTTATATCAATAACTTTCCTATATGTTCTCTGTCCAATTTCAATCCTTCTCCTTTTAAAACTCAACTGCAAAGAGCTCCTATTTAAGTCTTGAAGTGACTAGTTATGATAGTTACAAGATATACTTTATCGTAAAATATCCTTTGAAGGACCCACAGGTCTTTCATTATACATTATTTTAACAACATATTGACAAGGACAAGAGCAGGTCAATACTTAAAATGACGGAATTAAAGTATGAGTTAAAAAATATCTAAAACTGAACAAACAAGAAGCATGACCTCACTACAAACAGTGAGGCAGACTGGACAAGCATGTGTCCAACAGAGGGTAAGATTGCTTCCAATTATTTCAAAAAGTCAAAATCAAAAATGTCAGTATTTCAATTCAGGATAATGCCAAGTTAATGAAGCATTAACTACTTAACAACAAAAGTCATTCTTCAGTGGAAGATTGCTTTAAAATTGTTTTTCAAAATGAGTTTATAAAATTAACTGAGTAACAAATGCAATCAATGGTAAAAAAGGAAGCTTACCAGAAGAACAATGATTTACAATTGACAGTGCCATAAAAATCCAAGAAGTGGGAGAAACACTGATCACAACACTTACCTACCCAATGAGTTAAACTCCTAGAGCCTTGCTGACATTGCTGTAACCCTGTAAATATATCAAGTTCTCATACCTTTCTGATTGTTAATAGTTCCTATAGGTACTGCATTTAGGATAATGATTCTCAACCGGGGGCGATTTTGCTCACCAAAAGATATTTGGCAATATCTGGAGATATTTTTGATCATCATGAGGCCAAAGATGCTGTTAAACATCCTTCAATACACCAGAAAGCCTCCCTCCCACAACAAAGAATTATTGGCTCAATCTGTCAGTAGTAAGAAACCATGACCTAGGTCAACAGACTTCACTGTACTAAAACAGTATGCCAGCAAGTTCCTAACTACCCCCACATCCATTTTGGTTTCTCTGTTTTGAATTTCAGCTGTATGATTAACAAAAATCTATCTTAGATTTTTAGTAAAAAAAAGTCACTGTTGGCCAAATTATAACCCCTCACATTGCCCTCAGCAAAGTGTAAACCAAAGGTTTTCTTCCACAACTCTTGATGTTGGTACTAGCTACACAGGTAAATTAATTTGCTACATCTTATACACCTGTACACTTAAAATAGTTCCATTTACTAAATGTAAGTTATACTTCAATACAGTTGATTTTTAAAAGGCATATGAGGCCAAACAAAAACATTTCAAAAAGATTTAACTGAAAGGGAGACATATGTCATGTGATATAAATAAAGTATCCGTGAATGATTCTACATACCGTGAGTTCCAGATTTTGCTGGAGCCGAGGATGAACTTAGTGGATCCAACGAAGGATCCAAGAAACCTGCGTTCATGTTTGTTTTATATGAAAGCTGAGCTGCATCTTCTGATAGATTATCTAAACTTATCTTGCTTTGTCTACTTGTATCTAGAAGATCTTTTCCAAAGAAAGCTTCCTAGATGAAGATAAGCACATATAGAAATGGTTAGTTACAAATTCTAAAAGGACAATAGATTATTCTGTCATGGTTTTTGACAAGGAAGCAGAAATAACAGAAAAGGTTTACATTTAACAATACAGAAACTGAATACAGAAGTATAAAAACACCATAGAAATACGCTGTCAATTATTTTATACTCCTTATTTTAAAAATAAGATATTTTTGGTAGTTTTACTAGAGAAAAAATTATGGAAATAAAACCACATAATTATGCCAAAGATTTCTAAAAACTGCAGAATAGCTTCATGAATATTATTAATTTTTAGAGATTACCTGCAGAGGACAGCATAAGACTTTGATCTACAGCTTTAATATTTACTTCAGGTAGATTTGTAATCTATTGATACATATAATCACACTTACATTATAAGACTACTTACACTATCAGTCTGAAAGAGGGTTTTAGAGTCAGTTTAGCCATACTATGTGTGCAATATTTACAGCTACTAAAGGCTTGTGGTTTTCTATTTATTTACACATATTAACATTTTTCCATTTCAAAATATTTTTAAGCTGGGTTCCTTGCAACGCCAAGATCTCTCCAAAATTTCTCAAAAATCAATACCGAAGACAAAAGGGAAGCACAGGTCCACCCCTTTACCCTGCTTCAACCCAGGAGTTCTGCTTTAGTCTATTTCCTATGATGTGGTCTATCTGGAAAAAGGATCCTTCATAGAGGACAATTTTGCAATAGTTATCAACATTTAACACACTCTTGCCAAACATGCACAAAAAAGTTCACTGTAGCATATTTTGTAATGTCAAGAAGTAAAAATGGCCTTAATGTCTGTCAACAGGCAAATAACTATCCAACTTACAGACACTCATATTACAAAATACAATAATTTTTAAACAGTATATAGCTCTATGTTATCAAAGAAAAGCCCTAAAACACGTTACTAAAAGAAAGCAAGTTGAATTATATATACAGTAAATTATAAAATACAGGTCGGGCGCAGTAGCTCACGCCTATAATCCCAGCATTTTGGGAGGCTGAGGTGGGTGGATCACTTAGGCCCAGGAGTTAGAGACCAGCCTGGGCAACATGGCAAAACTCTGGCTCTACACAAAACACAAAAATTAGCCAGGTATGTGCCAACATGCCGTAATCACAGCTACCTGGAAGGCTGAGGCACGAAAATCACTTGAATCCAGAAGGCAGAGGTTGCAGTGAGGTGAGATCACACGACTGCATTCCAGCCTGAGTGACAGAGTGAGACTTGTCTCAAAAAAAAAAAAAAAAAAATTACAAAATTCAAATCAAGACTAGTATAAGTTTGAAAAAATAAATTATAAAAAAGTTTCTGAAGGATAAATGCCAAATTATTAACAACACTACCTTATGAGAAAAGAGATTGGGAGTATGTGAAGTCTGGTAGAGGTAATGATATATCTGATTTGAAATTTTCACATTTTAAATGAAAAAGTTGTCTCACTTTGAAAAACCTAAAAATCCACAAAACTAGAGCAGCAGGTAGAAGAGGATTCATTTCTTATAGTAAGCAATGCTTTTATCATTAGAAAAAAGGTTGAACAGCAGAAAGCATTTTAGAAGTTTATAAAATCATTTAATGCCTTCAGTATAAATTTGAGAAATCTTAGATCATGATCAGCAAGAATTTTGTCTAATGACTCATGACTTTACTAGTGTTTATCAAAAACTGTATCATCCTTATTAATTTAGTGGGTTTTCCATTCCCTGTAGATAACATAAAGAGGTGGCTCCATGCACATGGTCTCTAAATGTCCCAGAAAACAGTACCATTAAAAAGACTTCCCTCATATCACACATAAACACACACACACACGTGCTGAAAGTTACTGATGGGCAACAGGGGAATCAAGACAGCCCAGGAGACTAAGATCACAGCAATAACTGGGAAATTAGACCTAATAATTTTAAAGACTCTTTGCCAAAGTATTAAATGGCCAGTTTTCATACTTGCATAAACACCTAAAGAAAGTTTCTTAAATTTATATTATACTTTACACAAGGATCAATAGGAGGAAAGGCAGGTTGCCATCACAATATTCCTAGAAAGGACTATTAAGAAGGAAGGTAAAGGGAATCCCAGGAGAAAACAACAACAAACATGAAAAAAAAAAATGGGGGATGTGCCCAAGATGGCCGAATAGGAACAGCTCCAGACTCCAGCTCCCAGCGTAAGCGACACAGAAGACAAGTGATTTCTGCATTTTCAACTGAGGTACCAGGTTCATCTCACTGGAGCGTGTCGAACAGTTGGTGCTGGTCCAAGGGTGCAGCCCGACCACCAAGAGGCATCACCTCACCTGGGAAGCGCAAGGAGGAAGGGAATTCCTTTTCCAAGCCAAAGGAAATTGAGACAAACAACAACTGGAAAATCGGGTAACTCCTACCCTAATACTGTGCTTTACCAAGGGTCTTAGCAAATGGCACACCAGATTATATCCCACACCTGGCCCAGAGGGTCCCACACCCATGGAGCCTCCCTCATTGCTAGCACAGCAGTCTGAGATCTAATTGCGAGGTGGCAGTGAGGCTGGGGGAGGGGCGCCCACCATTGCTGAGGCTTAAGTAGGTAAACAAAGCCCCCTGGAAGCTCGAATTGGGTGGAGCCCACCATAGCTCAAGGAGGCCTGCCTGCCTCTGTAGACTCCACCTCTGGGGACAGGGTGGAGTCTAAACAAAAAGCAGCAGAAAGCTCAACAGAGATAAATGTCCCTGTCTGACAGCTTTGAAGAGAGCAGTGGATCTCCCAGCACAGAGGTTGAGATCTGAGAATGGACAGAATGCCTGCTCAAGTGGGTCCCTGACCCCTAAGTAGCCTAACTGGGAGACATCCCCCACTAGGTGCAGACCGACACCTCACACCTCACACAGCTGGGTACACCCCTGAGATGAAGTTTCCAGAGCAAGAATCAGACAGCAACACTTGCTGTTCAGCAATATTCCATCTTCTGCAGCCTCCACTGCCGATACCCAGGAAAACAGGGTCTGGAGTCGACTTCAAGCAAACTCCAACAGATCTATAGCTGAGGGTCCTGACTGTTAGAAGGAAAACTAACAAACAGAAAGGATACCCACACCAAAACCCCATCAGTACGTCACCATCATCAAAGACCAAAGGCAGATAAAACCACAAAGATGGGGAAAAAGCAGTCCAGAAAAGCTGGAAATTCAAAAAATCAGAGCGCATCTCCCCCTCCAAAGGAACACAGCTCATCGCCAGCAACAGAACAAAGCTGGACGGAGAATGACTTGGACGAGTTGAGAGAAGAAGGCTTCAGTCGATCAAACTTCTCAGAGCTAAACGAGGAACTATGTAACCAGCGCAAAGAAACTAAAAACTTTGAAAAAAGATTTGATGAATGGCTAACTAGAATAACCAATGTAGAGAAGTCCTTAAAAGAACTGATGGAGATGAAAACCATAACATGAGAACTACGTGACAAATGTACAAGCTTCAGTAACCAACTCGATCAACTGGAAAAAAGAGTATCAGTCATTGAAGATCAAATGAATGAAATGAAGTGAGGAGAAGTGTAGAGAAAAAAGAGTAAGAAGAAATGAACAAAGCCTCCAAGAAATATGGGATTATGTGAAAAAACCAAATCTACGTCTGATTGGTGTGCCTGAAAGTGACGGGGAAAATGGAACCAAGTTGGAAAACACTCTGCAGGATATCATCCAGGAGAACTTTCCCAACCTAGTAAGGCAGGCCAACATTCACATTCAGGAAATACAGAGAATGCCACAAAGATACTCCTCGAGAAGAGCAACTCCAAGACACATAATTGTCAGATTCACCAAAGTTGAAATGAAGGAAAAAATGTTAAGGGCAGCCAGAGAGAAAGGTCGGGTTACCCACAAAGGGAAGCCCATCAGACTAACAGCAGATCTCTCGGCAGAAACTCTATAAGCCAGAAGAAGTGGGGGCCAATATTCAACATTCTTAAAGAAAAGAATTTTCAACCCAGAATTTCATATCCAGCCAAACTAAGTTTCATAAGTGAAGGAGAAATAAAATCCTTTACACACAAGCAAACGCTTAGAGATTTTGTCACCACCAGGCCTGCCCTACAAGAGATCCGGAAGGAAGCACTAAACATGGAAAGGAACAACAGGTACCAGCCGTTGCAAAAACACGTCAAAATGTAAAGTCCATTGATGCTAGGAAGAAACTGCATCAACTAATGAGCAAAATAACCAGCTAATATCATAATGACAGGATCAAGTTCACACATAACAATATTAACCCTAAGTGTAAATGGACTGAATGGTCCAATTAAAAGACACAGTCTGGCAAATTGGATAAAGAGTCAAGACCCATCAGTTTGCTGTATTCAGGAGACCCATCTCACATGCAGAGACACACATAGGCTCAAAATAAAGGCATGGAAGACGATCTACCAAGCAAATGGAAAACAAAAAAAGCAGTGGTTGCAATCCTAGTCTCTGATAAAACAGATCAAAGATCAAAAGAGACAAAAAAAACCATTACATAATGGTAAAGGGATCAATTCATCAGGAAGAGCTAACTATCCTAAATATATATGCACCCAATACAGGAGATCTCAGATTCATAAAGTAAGTCCTTAGAGACGTACAAAGAGACTTACACACCTATACAATAATAATGGGAGACTTTAACACCCCACTGTCAACATTAGACAGATCAACAAGACAGAAAGTCAACAAGGACATCCAGGAATTAAACTCAACTCTGCAACAAGCGGACCTAATAGACATCTACAGAACTCTCCACCCAAAATCAACAGAGTATACATTCTTCTCAGCACCACATTGCACTTATTCCAAACTTGACCACGTAATTGGAAGTAAAGCACTCCTCAGCAAATGTAAAAGAACAGAAATTGTAACAAACTCTCTCTCAGACCACAGGGCAATCAAACTAGAACTCAGGACTAAGAAATTCAATCAAAACCGCTCAACTACATGGAAACTGAACAACCTGCTCCTGAATGACTACTGCGTACACAACGAAATGAAAGCAGAAATAAAGATGTTCTTTGAAACCAATGAGAACAAAGATACAACATACCAGAATCTCTGGGACACATTTAAAGCAGTGTGTAGAGGGAAATTTATAGCACTAAATGCCCACAAGAGAAAGCAGGAAAGATCTAAAATTGACACCGTAACATCACAATTAAAAGAACTAGAGAAGGAAGAGCAAACACACTGAAAAGCTAGCAGAAGGCAAGAAATAACTAAGATCAGAGCAGAACTGAAGGAGATAGAGACACAAAAAACCCTCCAAAAAAATCAATGAATCCAGGAGCTGGTTTTTGGAAAAGATCAACAAAATTGATAGACCACTAGCAAGACTAATAAAGAAGAAAAGAGAGAAGAATCAAATAGATGCAATAAAAAATGATAAAGGGGATATCACCACTGACGCCACAGAAATACAAACTACCATCAGAGATTACTATAAACACCTCTATGCAAATAAACTAGAAAACCTAGAAGAAATGGATAATTTCCTGGACACTTAAACACTCTCCCAAGACTAAACCAGGAAGAAAATGAATCCCCGAATAGACCAATAGCAGGCTCTGAAATTGAGGCAATAATTAATAGCCTATCAACCAAAAAAAGTCCAGGGCCAGACGGATTCACAGCCGAATTCTACCAGAGGTACAAGGAGGACTTGGCACCAGTCCTTCTGAAACTATTCCAATCAATAGAAAAAGAGGGAATTCTCTCTAACTCATTTTATGAGGCCAACATCATCCTGATACCAAAGCCTGACAGAGACACAACAAAAAAAGAGAACTTTAGACCAAAATCCCTGATGAACATCGATGCAAAAATCCTTAACAATATACTGGCAAACTGAATCCAGCAGCACATCAAAAAGCTTATCCACCATGATCAAGTGGGCTTCATCCCTGGGATGCAAGGCTGGTTCAACATACACAAATTAATAAACATAACCCAGCATATAAACAGAACCAAAGACAAAAACCACATGATTATCTCAATAGATGCAGAAAAGGCCTCTGACAAAATTCAACAGCCCTTCATGCTAAAAACTCTCAATAAATTTGGTATTGATGGAACGTATCTCAAAATAATAAGAGCTATTTATGACAAACCCACAGCCAGTATCATACTGAATGGCCAAAAACTGGAAGCATTCCCTTTGAAAACTGGCACAAGACAGGGATGCCCTCTCTCACCACTCCTATTCAACATAGTGTTGGAAGTTCTGGCTAGGGCAATCAGGCAAGAGAAAGAAATAAACGGTATTCAGTCAGGAAAAGAAGAAGTCAAATTGTTCTTGTTTGCAGATGACATGATTGTATATTCAGAAAACCCCATTGTCTCAGCCCAAAATCTCCTTAAGCTGATAAGCAACTTCAGCAAAGTCTCAGGATACAAAATCAATGTGCAAAAATCACAAGCATTCTTATACACCAGTAACAGACAGAGAGCCAAATCATGAACGAACTCCCATTCACAATAGCTTCAAAGAGAATAAAATACCTAAGAATCCAACTTACAAAGGATGTAAAGGACCTCTTCAAGGAGAACTACAAACCACTGCTCAGTGAAATAAAAGGGGACACAAACAAATGGAAGACCATACCATGCTCATGGATAGGAAGAATTAATATTGTGAAAATGGCCATACTGCCCAAGGTAATTTATAGATTCAATGCCATCCCCATTAAGCTACCAATGACTTTCTTCACAGAATTGGAAAAAACTGCTTTAAAGTTCATATGGAACCAAAAAAGACCCCACATTGCCAAGACAATCCTAAGCCAAAAGAACAAAGCTGGAGGTATCACGCTACCTGACTTCAAACTATACTACGAGGCTACAGTAACCAAAACAGCACGGTACTGGTACCAAAACAGAGATATAGACCAATGGAACAGAACAGAGCCCTCAGAAATAATACCACATATCTACAGCCATCTGATCTTTGACAAACCTGACACAAACAAGAAATGGGGAAAGGATTCCCTATTTAATAACTGGTGCTGGGAAAATTGGCTAGCCATTAATTAGAAAGCTGAAACTGGATCCTTTCCTTACTCCTTATACAAAAATTAATTCAAGACGGATTAAAGACTTAAATGTTAGACCTAAAACCACAAAAACCCTAGAAGAAAACCTAGGTAATACCATCAGGACATAGGCATGGGCAAGGACTTCATATCTAAAACACCAAAAGCAACAGCAACAAAAGCCAAAATTGACAAATGGGATCTAATTAAACGAAAGAGCTTCTGCACAGCAAAAGAAACTACCATCAGAGTGAACAGGCAACCTACAGAATGGGAGAAAATTTTGCAATCTACTCATCTGACAAAGGGCTGATATCCAGAACCTATAAAGAACTCAATCAAATTTACAAGAAAAAAACAACCCCATCAAAAAGTGGGCAAAGGATATGAACAGACATTTCTCAAAAGAAGACATTCATACAGCCAACAGACACATGAAAAAATGCTCATCATCACTTGCCATCAGAGAAATGCAAATCAAAACCACAATGAGATAACATCTCACACCAGTTAGAATGGCAATCATTAAAAAATCAGGAAACATCAGGTGCTGGAGAGGATGTGGAAAAACAGGAACACTTTTACACTGTTGGTGGGACTGTAAACTAGTTCAACCATTGTGGAAAACAGTGTGGCGATTCCTCAAGGATCTAGAACTAGAAATACCATTTGACCCAGCCATCCCATTACTGGGGATATACCCAAAGGATTATAAGTCATGCTGCTATAAAGACACATGCACACATATGTTTATTGCAGCACTATTCACAATAGCAAAGACTTGGGATCAACCCAAATGTCCATCAGTGACAGACTGGATTAAGAAAATGTGGCACATATACATCATGGAATACTATGCAGCCATAAAAAGGGATGAGTTTGTGTCCTTTGTAGGGACATGGATGCAGCTGGAAACCATCATTCTCAGCAAACTGTCACAAGAACAGAAAACCAAATACCGCATGTTCTCACTCATAGGTGGGAATTGAACAATGAGATCACTTGGACACAGGAAGGGGAACATCACACACCAGGTCCTATTGTGGGGAGGGGGGAGGGGGAGGGGGAATGGGGGAGGGATAGCATTAGGAGATATACCTAATGTAAATGATGAGTTAATGGGTGCAGCACACCAACATGGCACATGTATACATATGTAACAAACCTGCACATTGTGCACATGTACCCTAGAACTTAAAGTATAATAAAACTAAATAAATAAATAAATAAACAAATGTAAGGAAGAAAATTTTAAAAAATAAAAAAAAATGTATAAGGCACAATGTTGTTCAATAAAAAAAAAAGATGAAAAATAAAAAAAAAAGGTAAACCAAACTATAAATGGATTTTTTTCCTGACCAATTAAATGATTGTTTAAAAAAACAAAGGTACAAAGCTAGGATATAAGAGATTGAGGGGAAAAATATCTATAAAGGATATACAAAAGGTAAGGCACTGGTTAGACACTTTACATACATACTCTTACTGAACCTCTGAGCATTTCTGAGAGGCACCATTATGTCACAAATGAGGAAACCGAGACAGAGATGTTAAATAGAACAAAATCACACAGCTAACTGGTAGTGGAATGGTATTTAAACCCTCTGACTTTCTAGGCTAAACTCTAACATGAACACTGCCATTAAGATGTTAGTAGCTACTGAAAAAGAAAATTGAGGAAGTTGTATGTTAGTTGAAAGGCAGTGTATTTTAAAACCAATTAAACTAGTAATAGCTAACTGGAAAATTAATGTAAAAAATAAATACAACTCAGGCAATGAACAGTTATCTATGTAAGCCATAGTTTCTTAGGAGGAACAGATCAGATGAATAGTTTTCTACACTGAAATTAGGACGGACTCTCAATGATAGTCTGTTCCAGTTCAATTTTAACACATGAAGAAACAGAGACCAGGAAGGATAAATAACATGCTTAGGAATTTACAATTAGTTAGATGCAGAGCCAGATGTTTAATCTCAGTACCATTTCTAATATTGAGCTATTTCCATTGTATCACATGGCCTTAAACTCTGACTTAATGTTTACAAGATGAACTAGAAAAAAACTTTTTTGGAGTCTACATCTATCAAACATAATTTCTTCATACTGAAAAGATATTTTTCTGATGTGTATTTTGGAAAACAAAAAGAATACTGTTTAAATCTTTGGTTCACCAGGCCTCTAAAAGTGGTTAACGATTATTAAAGCTATAACTTTGACTGAAAAACCTATCTTAAATCAATGAATATAACTACTGTAACTTGTATTGGCAAAGGAAATTTCAACAGAACTTGGGTGTAGGGTATACATAGCTATAAATGGCTTGAAGATTGAGTTTTTCCTACCCAAAGTCTCCTTGTTACATCTTATAGAATACTTAGAAGTGAACAACTGGGATTAAAAAAGCAATTTATGGCAAGTATCAAAGCGCACAAAAAAGTAAATTTAATTTTTACAGACCCCTGGAAGGTAAAAATGGCATTTATGATGACTAAATGAAAACAAAACAAGTAAAACATTAACAAAAACAACAAACCTATGTTTTATAACTCAATACATTCTATTTCCTCAATTAACAAACCATGTAAAATAATGTAAAGCAAAATATTACTTGTAAATAGGCAGGGAAAGTTTCTTCAAGCTTATTTTTCCTTTTTCGGTATCTCTTCTTTATTTTTTCAGTACTTTCAGTAACAGAAACAGATTCATCAACTAAAGTATCTGGTAACTGCTCACTCCAGCCTGAAACAACAGTCACATTTACACATATGTGGCATTTAAAATTTCTAGACAAACCCACTGAAGGTAATTTTATACCTTACCAATGTACACACAGTTTCATATAAACAAACAAGCTTTTTCAACAAAAAATCTCAAATCAAGTTTATTACTTTTAAGTGCCAAAAAATTTTCATTTCATGCCTATTTAGTATTAGCATGTTTCCCATTTTCTTAATAACAGATTTCTTTACAAAGCAAAAGCTTATTTATTTATTTAAACACATTTTGTTAACGAGTAAAAAGATAATAATAATAATAAATACCCAAAGCTCATGAGTATGAGGAAATGGCAACTTACAAACTATTAAGGCAAATTCAGTGGGTACAATTTTTTTGTAGGGTGGATTGAGAATACTCAACAAAAACCTTAAAGAAAAAGTGTGTCCTTTAATACAGCAATTCCAAGCTCAGAAATTTATTATAAATTAATTATTTGTAGGATATACACATTGTGAAAACATGACTATGAATATGCCAATAAATATGCAATGAATACTCATTCTTGAAATCAGAAACAGAAATAAATTTGGGGACGATGAAACTAGCAAAGAAACAAGAACACAGCTTAAATTTGACAAACAATCAAATGATATTCTCAGATGCTTCGTGATGGCAGGGCAAACGGTACATCCCTCTGAAAATCAGTATGAGCACTCTACCACCAGACTACATAAGTGAACTGACTCTTCTGAAAACTAGAAACAGACAAACATTTTTTACAACCATCTTTTTAAATGCACCATAACCTAGCCAGAACATAAGGAATCCATGAAAAACAAAAATTAAGGTAAATAAGGAACCACAGAAGTAAGCAAAAAAGTAAAAGCTCTCCGAAATTTGCTGAAATCCAATGACCTCAAACTCTATACACATTCAAATCCTTTCATCAATAAAAGGTAGTAAGGCTTTTATTGAGTAACAATAAGAGTCAATAAGGCTCTTATTGACTGTAACATTTTAGGAAGCTCTTTCCAACAGAAGTATCAAGACCAAGGGGTTACATTAAAAAAAAAAAAAAAAGTTTTAAGTCAGTACTATACCATCATCTCTGCAAGGTAACTGCTCAGAAATAGAGCCTGAGGAATCTTTCCTGATCACAGATCTTTTGGTTTTCCCTTGCCCAGTTCGACTTCTTTGCCGCACCATAAATCCACCAATACCTATCCAAAAAAGAAATTGGGTAAACTGATAAATAATTTCTCCCTACATTTCCACAGTACATAGGATAAAACTGCTTTATCTTGAATAGTAAGGCATTTTCCAAAATTAAATCTGTGCTAATCTAAATCAATAATCTGATTTTTAGGTAAAATAGAAGTCAAAAATAAGCAAAAAAAAAAAAAAAAGAAAAGAAAAAAGAAAGAAAAAGGCAAAGCCACTGTTATCACTTATCAAACAGAATATAAAAAGACCTGTGTGCACTTCCTCTTCTAAACAGTATCGGTGTAAATCTCAAACACTAAATTATGCTGGTTTATCTATTTGACAAATATTAGTACCTCATACATCAAATTACAGTCATGCACTGCATGATGATGTTGGTCAACAAAGGCCTGCATGTTAAGACAGTGGTCCCATAAGATTATAATGGAGCTGAAAAATTCCCACCACATAGAGATATCACTGTAGTTATAACACTGTAGCATAATTACTTTATTTTGTAAAATGGATTTAGGGTACCATGCAGCCTAAGTGTGTAGTAAGCTATACCATCTAGGTTTGTGGAAGTGCACTCTGTGATGTTCACACAAGGATGAAAACGCCTAATGATGTATTTCTCTGAACTTAAGTGATGGATGACTGTATTTGTATACTAACCGGCTAGATGACAGAAACATTCTTTGACTGATATGATTTCAGGGGGATGGTGTCCAGTATTCCAAGGTATGAGGGTATTTATACATGGGATACATAGAGCCCTGAGGTTAAGAGCATGGAATCTGGAGTCAGACTATGTAATTCTACTCACTCACTAAATACTTCTCAATGCCTCAGTTCTTTCACTGGTTAAAAATGGGGGTAAGGCAAAGCAGCTTCTCATACATATGTTAAATGGACAAATAACATAAGTGAATTGCTTAGAATAGAGGTCTGGTACACAGTCAACACTGTAAGCTTTTGTGAAATGATATCGCTGTCGAGCAATATACTCCGTGACCTAATGGGCCCCTCAATTAGAGGGCTGACTTCCATGTGAGGCAGAGGAAAAGAAAAAAAACAGTAAATACAAGTTCCTGAAGAAATCTGCAATGGCTAAAATTTAAAGTGCACTTATAAGCCTCATGATTAGGAAGAAATGAAATCATTTTCATAAAATGATTTAGATGCAACTAATCTTAGGTCCTTATTATAGATGTGACCTATTTAAAAGACGTTATCTTTCAAGGTCTCACAGAATACAAATGAAGTAAGAAAGTTCTTCCTTACATAGCAAAAGGGATTTAGGTCACTCTTACCAATAAAATGTAAGCAATCAGAAGCATAAAGATTGTACCAATCCAATTTAAAACCTCATTGGTAAACAGACATTAATAAACTGCCTAAGGAAAGCCTACTCAATACCTGTGAAAAGCGGGAAAAAAATTTTTTTAAATAAATACATAAAAGCCTACAACTTCTGTATTGTGACAATTTCAATAATTTTTTCCAATAAGGCAAATAAAATCGACAAGCAAGACCACTTTTCTCTCCACTCCTGAGGCAGATAAGAAATAAGAGTGTTTAATCCGTCATAGTTTTAACTGGACTATAAATTCTAGGAGGCATAATAACTCTCTTGTTCCCTTTCACGTTGTATACTTACTGGCACTCCTGCATAAACACTGAAATCAGTTTTTTCAAAAAAAGATATTAGAAAGTGAATACTGAAAACTAAAAGCATTACAGAAGTACATATCCAGAGGAACTATATAAAATGGCCTTCAAAGTCCAAGTATGAACAAAAGCCAATCTAGTAAAGCATTTAATAAAATGGTTAACATTTGGGATAAGGTATTCAATAATGATTCATTGTGAAGTATTCACATATTCAAAATAAAGAACTCTTGAGCTAAAAAATCGTATTCAAATAGTTTAGTTCTTTAATTTATATGCACATATTTTTGTTTAGACAGTTCTTAATCCTGAATAGTTCATTTTAATTGAAGTCTTCAGTACTGTATTTTTCTTAAATTAACCAAGTATTGATGATATTGAAATGTCTACCTCAGACACTATACCTGGTCTGTATGGTTTCCTTTTTCTCTTTTTGACACCATCTGTTCCTTCTACTCCCTTAGTTTCATCATCCACAGCTTCCCGCTCAGGACTAGATTCTGATTTTCCATCACAATCCATAAGTTCTCCTTCTGGAAAAAAGTAAATGTATACACAAAATTGGAAAAACCTATCAAATACATAATCCCTACATAATGGGGAATACAAAGCAGGGTTGTTACTGAGCCATTTTAATTACACATCCCTGTTGGTAGGGAAAGTATGAAAGCAGACAGAAGCCCCAAATGGTTGCAGAAATTGTGCTGCTTAGTGCAGTGTTCCCATGAAATAAAATATAATAATCAGAGAAGGGGAACACAGAACTCAGAAAGAGTTCTGTTAAGTGCAATCCATTTGCACTTAACAAATTCACTTCTTTAATTATGTCTTCAGGTCCAGGTCTCTAGACCAGAACTCTCTTCTGAGCTTCAACCACAGCTATAATTGAATACTACCTAGTTACTGAAAACTGTATATCCAAAATGAACTACTGATTTAAAATAAACTTTCTCCTTTTTCCCATGTTACCTATCATCATTAAAAGGCATGGACATGTAACCTGGAGAAGACAAAGGCCTGGAAGACCACCATAATCATTCCTAATCTCTTTCCTCCCACAACCAAGACTCCTCAATACCTCTGAAGTGCATTTTATCACTCTCTATCACCATCTTAGTCCAACCTCAGATGACTCACTATTAATACAACATGCTGCTATCTAGTTCCCCACCTCAAAGCTTACCTCTCTCCAATTAGTTCTTTAAATTACTACATAAATGATCTTTCTATAAATATGTATCAATTTTCTGCTTAAAATCCTTTCATGTCTTCCCAATGCCCTCAAAATAAACTTCAAATTGCAAGGCCCATTACAACAGCCTTTTGTAAACTTTCCAGCTTCATCTCACTCCCACCAGTGAACTATATTCAGTTCTTTGGATGTATCAAGCTCTTTCTTCCACTGTCTTCCCCAATTTCTGCCTTCTACCTAATTTATCTTTCATGATTTATTCTAAACTTCACTGTATTGAAGAATTCCTGATATTTAGATAAGGTTATGTCAAACAGTGTATGTTCCTATATATGAATGTCATGCTTCATTTTAATTGGTTCTTTAAAATCTGTGTCCCTGCTGGACTGTATTCTCCATGAGAACAGGTACACAGATTTTCTTAGTAACAGATGTATTGTTAGCAGGATACCTAATACATGTTCAACAAATACTTCACTGAATGTGGTAAATGGAATGCTTAGAGAATGCTATTTTAGAGAATGCTATTTTAACACTATGTAATCAAACTTTTCCAAGTTATATATGCTTTACATTGTATTACAGGAAAAAGACATGTTTATCAAATACATTTTAAAATCAAGTTGTTAACTCCTTCAATATTCTCAGTATTAGAGATAACATATTTCTGTAATGGCATGAACAGGGTATGCGTCTTTTGTTTTTTATTATATTTGAAGCCAATTCCACAACAATCTGATAATGGCTATGAACTTATGACTAAGCCATGAAAAGAAAAGTTTATAGGCCAGGCAGGGTGGCTCATGCCCATAATCCCAGCACTTTGGGGGGGCCAAGGCAGGTGGATCACTTGAGGTCAGGAGTTCCAGACCAGCCTGACCAACATGGTGAGTCTCTACCAAAAATACAAAATTATCCGGGTGTTGTGGTACACGTCTGTAATCCCAGCTACTCAGGAGACTGAGGCAGGAGAATTGCTTGAACCCGGGAGGTGGAGGTTTCAGTGAGCTGAGATTATGCCATTGCACTCCAGCCTGAGCAACAAGAGCAAAATTCCGTTTCAGAAAGAAAGAACGAAAGAAAGAGAAAAGAAAAAAGAAAATTACTGAAACACAGCAAGCACCAAAGATAACAATACCAATTGTTTACTTCCAAATAAACCCACCTAAAAGTTAATGACAGGGAATTTGGGGTGAAGGTGGCAGGCTAAATCCGTATATTAAAATTTCATTCTCCTGAAACTCTACTAAAAACACACTAAAATAATCCATTTTTAAAAGATAAAATCAAGCAGGGGCATGGTGGCATGCCTGCAATCCCAGCTATTTGGGAGGCTGAGGTGGGAGAAGAGAATTGCTTGAGCCAGGAGGCTGAGGCTACAGTGAGTTATGATCACACCACTGCATTCCAGCCTGGGCAACAGAGAAAGACCCAATCTCCTTTAAAAAAAAAAAAAAAAGACAATAGGAAAGGAGAAAAACAACAAAGTTAAATTCTCAGTTGAAGGCAGAAAGAACTGAAAAAAAGAATGCAGTTTATAACAATCCTCAGAAGGCTGAGAAACTAGGAAAACTGGCTACCTTTGGAAATAAGTGGGAGAAAACCAAAGCAACAAGAGCTTTATTTAATTACCTACAGAAGTCATACTCCCTACACCTGCTTCCTAGGTTTACACACCGAGAAGCTGCTACTCTCATTCATGGGATGCAGGATTCCTGGGTGACCTTAAACGCAACAATGGGATAAAGACTGAAAATAGGATGAAGAAACTATACTAAATGTGGGCATACTAAATGTGGACAACCCCATCCTGCTCCCGCTGCCGTACCCCATGTTTCCCCACTAAATTCTCAGAAAGTTAGCAGCCAGATCTCCAGCCTCCAAGTATGAGGTTTGAAAAGACTGTTGTGGGGAACCTGATCAGTTCAAGAAGAACATCTAAAGATACTGAAACCAGAGGGTTCCCCAAATGGTCAGCACAAATCACCCCACTAAACTTACAAATTGACAAGCACCACCACATACTCAAAGCTTTCCAATCAACTACTTAATTCCTTTTTTAAAAAATAAAAATAGTATCTATCCAGTCTCCATCTTTAGTTATTCACTTTTCATCATGCAGGTACAATAAAGATTATCTGATGATGGTCTGTAACAAGCTTGTCCAACCTGCAGCCCAAGATGCTTAAAATGTAGCCCACTGCAAGTTCATAAACTTTCATACAACATTATGAGACTTTTTATAAGTTCTGTTTTTTTTTGTTTTGTTTGTTTTTTTTTAAAAAAGCTCATCAGCTATCATCAGTGTATTTTATGTGTGGCCCAAGACAATTCTTTTAATGTAGGCCATAGAAGCCTGAAGATCTGCAACACCCCTGACAGAGACCTGAAAACACAAAAGACAATTTGGAATTAATAGACTAAGTAGGAAGAAAAAAATTTTAAAAAAGATTAAAATCCTCTGAGGGATAAGATAAGATACCCATGAGGCAAGAATAGGATGCTACAAAAGAAACATTCAAAGGAAGGAAAGAAAGCTCATGAAATAATTGAAACAACAGAAATAAAAACAAAACTCAGTAGAGGAAGATAAAATAAGGACATGAATTGGAAAGCAGAGAAAAATTGAGTACGTTTCACATCTGAAAAGCAGAATTCTAGAAAAAGAGAGGGAATTGTTGTCAATAATATAGTTCAAGAACATCTCCTGCCACTGAAGGATGTAAGATGGCAGACTGAAAGAGACCACTCAGTGTCTAACAAAACAGATTTTTAAAATCCAAAATAGGGGCCGGGCGCGGTGGCTCACGCCTGTAATCCCAGCACTTTGGGAGGCCGAGGCGGGCGGATCACAAGGTCAGGAGATCGAGACCATGGTGAAACCCCGTCTCTACTAAAAATACAAAAAATTCGCCGGGCGCGGTTGTGGGCGCCTGTAGTCCCAGCTACTCGGGAGGCTGAGGCAGGAGAATGGCGTGAACCCGGGAGGCGGAGCTTGCAGTGAGCCGAGATCGCGCCACTGCACTCCAGCCTGGGCGACAGAGCGAGACCCCGTCTCAAAAAAAAAAAAAAAAATCCAAAATAGACAAAAACAGACGTTATCCTCATGAAATTTTAGAACACTGAGGACAAAGAATTTCCTAAAATCCTAAGAGCTCCTAAGAAAACACAGGTCACACAGAAGGAATCGAGTTCTTCATATACTAGAAACTAAAAGGCAGTGGATCAATAGACTAAAAATGATAAATGAAAACGTATTTCCAACCTGGAAAAGATCAGTCAGGTAGGAAGGTAAAATAAAGACATTTTCAGAAGTATATAATGCCCAAAACTTACCTTCCACACCTTCTCTGTCAGGGAGCTATGGAAGATACGTTCCACCCAAATTGACGGAAGAAATAACAGAAATTAATGAAACTGCAGAAAACACATGTAACACAGGAGAGAACACAAGATGATCTCCAAGATGATGAAGAAGAAATCCCTAAATTAATCATATGTAATGGTTTGTGGCCAAGGATAGCACTGGATCTAATACAAAGACCACCTATCAACTGAAACAATGCACACGAGGACAGTAAAACCCAAGAGAGCACTTTTATTGATGAGGTTCACAGTGACACCAGTAAGCATACATGTTGAGACAAATGGCATAAAGTAGCACATACAGTGCCCTAACACAAGTGGTATCACTGAAGGCTAAAGTCTCTTCTAACCAACATATTCACAAGGGCCTTCTGATTCCCACAGGCCGCAATAAAGAAAAAGACCATATCGGCCAGGCGCGGTGGCTCATGCCTGCAATTTCAGCACAGCACTTTGGGAGGCTGAGGCGGGTGGGTCATGAGGTCAGAAGATTGAGACCACCCTGGCTAACATGGTGAAAACCCATCTCTATTAAAAATACAAAAACAGCCGGGTGAGGTGGCGGGCGCCTGTAGTCCCAGCTACTCAGGAGGCTGAGGCAGGAGAATGGCATGAACCCGGGAGGCACAAGTTGCAGTGAGCCAAGATTGCACCACTGCACTCCAGTCTGGGCGACAGAGCGAGACTGTGTCTCAAAAAAAAAAAAAAAAAAAAGGAAAAAAAAGGAAAAGACCATATCACCCAAACATGAGAAATTCTTCCATATATGCATACTTGTATCTAGATGACTAATCTCTGGAAAGTTATAAGAAAACCACTGGTTCTTTCCAAGGAAGGGATGGCCGAGAAAGGTAGACTAACTTAACATTGTTCACTCTTTTTAAGACCTTTGTATTTCTTATAGCTATTGCCTATTCAAAAACAAACCTGTAACAGGGAAAGAATGAAAGCTTTTCTTCAACATTTGGGACAAGG